TGTCGGAATATAGAGGTTCCTTACCGAACAATACCAACTGATGCCTGATTGATGCCTTGCTGATATCATATGGCGAAAAGCAGCGTATTTACTCTGCTATTACTGCTTTTGAAACCGCACAATCGCTTAGTATACTCTATAAGGTATTTACGGTCGTATATAGGATCCTAGATAGCACACTTTTGCAAGAATCAGAGACCTCAACCATATACGCTTGATACGTACTTTCAACCCTGACTAAGCCACATTTCCGACATTCGCTATATGGTCACGTGGCCGTTCAGGTGCGTGGAAATAGAATTTCGTCTCGACTCCTCCCCTTCATCTTCAACAACATTCTTTCTATTAACTATATTCATCAAGATATCTGTATATTATGACCTGAACTGTCTATTTATGAGCATGATACCCTGATACTCCTTCACAATGCCGATTACGGCCCTCCCCCAGAATATCGTCCGGGCAATCGGCTCAACGTCTGTAATCACGGACCCATGCTCCATCGTCAAGGAATTGTTGGAAAATGCTCTTGACGCATCTGCTTCATCCGTGTTTGTAGAAATATCCCAGAACACGCTGGATGTCATCCAGGTAAAAGACAATGGCCATGGTATCCCGTCCGAAGATCATGCTGTCGTCTGCAGACGCACCTTCACCAGCAAGATCCAGACGGTAGAGGATCTCAGAAAAATTGGAGGGAGTTCGTTGGGATTCAGGGGGGAGGCTTTGGCTAGTGTGGCGGAGATGTCTAGAAATGTTGCTGTTACTACTAGGGTAGCGGCGGAAGTGGTTGGTTCAGCTATCAAATATGGAAGGAATGGGGAGTTGGTTAGGTGTGTACCGTGCAATCTCGAAATACACTTGGTACTGACGGTATGGTTTAGCTCTCAACGTACGTCTCATCCGGTGGGAACGACTGTCAAGATCACGGACTTCCTTAAGCACATCCCTGTGCGGAAACAGATGGCGTTGAAAAGTGCGGGCAAAACGCTTTCAAAAATCAAGAAACTCTTGCAGACATATGCCGTATGTCAACCGACAAAGAGACTCTCCTTGAAAGTCATCAAGGCAAAGAATGAGAGCAACAACTGGATGTATTCTGGGAGCCAAACCGCAAGTGTCAGCGACGCAGCCTTGAAAATCGTTGGCACGGATGTCGCCTCGAATTGTACAATCAAGGAATGGCCACTTGAGGATGATAGCGCAGATTACAAGGTAGTAGCCCTTCTTGCAAAAAAAGATGCAGGTAATAAACCTTAGCCCTCTGAGCTAGCACTGCTTAACATAGATAGATTTTACCAGGGTCAACAACGCAGGCCAGTACTTTGGCGTCGACGGCAGACCCCTGGCCAACGGAAGGGGGGTCACGCGCGATATCACGAAGCTATATAAAAATTATCTTCGTTCAGTCAGCTCGTGTGGTGGGGAGTCAGAATCAATTAACGATCCATTCCTCTGCTTGCAGATTGAGTGCACACCTGGGAGCTACGACGTCAACATCGAACCGGCCAAAGATGATGTTTTGTTTGAGGATACGCAACGAATTCTCTCTCTGGTAGAAGATCTTTTTCGAGAAATGTACGGCAATATCACTGGGCCCTTTCAGAAAAAGCAATCATCGAACAAAGGAAAAGAAAGGGCGTCTTGTAACGATGGATTCGAGCTGCTCATGGCACGAAAAAGCCCGGTTCCCTCAGCCTTACAAGTTCCGGCGACGAGTAGCGATTCGGTACCTTCGTTTATTACATCATCGTCAGGCTTTAGGAGACCATCATTGCCTAACGATCCTCGAGATATCGAAGTCAACACATGGCCAGTGGGCAAAAACTCTCAAGATGGATGTCGCAGAGGGAGCGGGGATCGGGAAGCACTGAACCCATGGTCAATGACCAAGTTGAATTCTCCATTTCGCACCCCGATGGGAACCCAGGCTGGACCAAGCTCAGTTCCCCTCATAACGAATACGACGAGAGAACCAGTGCGGAGACAACGCAGTGAAAATCAGATGTCGCCTACGCCTTCGAGAAGCTCGGTTCTACTAAGTCCACCAGCCTCGAATTCTAATCCCAATTCCACGTCGACCTCCCCCATGGATGCTCGTCCTCTGTCAGATGAGCAGTATACACGAGCATCGCCTACTGCCTCTATACAAGGTAGTACGAGGAAAGCAAGAGAGCGTGACAGGGAGCGGTACGGCAATGGTGCTCTCGATACCTGGTTCTCAAGGATCACCCAGCCGGGACTTCGTGAGAATGAAGACCATTGGCCCGAGAATGAAGAAGAGGAAGAATATTCGTCGACTCAGTTAGCAAAAACGCGACTTGGGTCATCGGAACAGTCGCCATCCAATACGCTAGAAGCCTTTGAGGACTTATCCACCCAGAATGGCATTGGCAATATGAAAGCTACTCGTGCATCTTCTCAGCCATTGACACAAGACCAAGGTTCTTCAAGAGACCCAAGCCGGGTTGCAGAAGTTGCAAACAAGCGCCAGGAATTACCGGTCATGGAGAAATGGTCTGCCAGACTGCACCAGCTGTCTGAACCTCAACCCAATCCGGAAGTAGAACAAGCACTTGATTTCGAACGTCGGAAGAAAGAAGCTATTATACAACGGCGAGAGGAAATCAGGAACCGTCTTGAGACTCCCCCTTCTACAAATTCTCCGCATCACAGTCGATATCTCGCAGCTCGAGCCACGCTAAACTCACGCTCGAATGAACAACAAAGTCAGCTACCTTTTACTCCCGAGTCGTCTACTTCGAAGTCTATGTTGAGTCCTTTCGACCCGAGGGCATACTTGATCCGCCAAAACGTCTTTCCACAGGAGCAACCCCAGAACGCAAAAGCTCGACGAATCCAAACCAGCAAATTACCGCTTGAGAAAATCCCTGATGGTCATGATCTGCATGATGTTTGCTTGATAATGCCATTTGACGTCTCGGGATTGACGAACTCCATTGAAGGGCATTTAACGCATGATCTATATACCCAATGTGGAGGTGATTTTGCCGCATTTACAGAGTCTAGGTCGGAAGATTCGTATACGTTCGATCTCTGGAAATATCGGCTGTCAGATTTGATCAACGAGAACTATGAAACTAGGGACTCTGGAGTTCCTCGTCTCGATTTAAACCTTTCCAATATCTGTCATCTACCGGAGTCCGATTAGTTGTGCATTTGCCGGGGATACCGTCCTACTTTTTATATTTTGCACTAACTATTTCGCAAATATTCTACTGCATATGTATATAGCCATGGGTGCTCTTGCGCTTTTCGGCGCAAAGGTTTGATGATTTCTAATATGATGAAATGATATCATAATATAGATGACCTGTTTCATAGACGCCGGGGTAACACAATTGAATTTAACTTGCATAGGACGAAACTTACATAATACTGACATCAACATCAAGCAAGCTTCATAAAGCTTCCAATTCCCATGAAAACTCCCCAATCCCGATAGCAAAACGCTTTAAAACCAACGCAAAATGGAGGCTTACGGCGCAAAGCCAGTGGTTGGCATGGACCAACCACTCAATACCCTTCGAAACTCCGATATAAATTTAAGCGCCGGTGACGTCGGCATCTTAAAATCTACCCTTCTACCATCCTTCACCCTGCACACCGGCCTCACCCTCGCCAGTTATGCTGCCGCGCGAGCAACAGACCGAGGCGAAATCAAAGACTACAATTGGCCCTCCAGCCAGGTCGCCAACGCCTGGTGGAGTGCTGTCGGCCGCCGCGTATACTACGACAACATCCCCTTCACAACCGCCTGGAACATCCTACCCTGGACCGAGAAACTCCTGCTCAGCTCTGTGACTCTCTGGGGCACGCGCCTGTTCTACCGTATTGTGTCGCGGTCTGTGAGCCGCGGTAAGGACGACCCGCGCTACGATGAGTTGAAGAAGCAGGACAAGGGATTCTGGAATGCGGCTTTCTTTAAGCAATTCTTGCCTGAGGCTGCATTTTTGACATTCATCACGCTTCCTTTCACTCTGCCTTTCCGGATGCCTTCGTCGACGCTCTCGGTTGAGCCGGAGGTGTCGTGTGCTCTGAGGACGCTAGGTGTGGGCTTATTCAGTGCTGGTTTCGCTATGGAGGCTTTTGCCGATACGCAGTTGGAATCGCACCGTCAGAAGCGGTCTGATCTCTGCCGTAATGGTGTGTGGAGTATCGTGCGGCATCCAAAGTAGGCACCCCCTCATCTAAACTCCTAATCTTCATTGAACAGAAGCTAATCCGTACAGCTATCTCGGCGACTCCCTCGTCCACTTCTCCTTCATCATCCTTAACGCCGCCAACAGCTTCAACCCCTTCATTCTCCTTGGTCCACTCGCAAACTACGCATACCTGCGCTTCGTCGGTGGTGACAAGCAGAACGAAGCGAGCCAGGAATCGCGCTACAAGCTCAACGACCCGCACAAGTATGAGCAGTTGCAAACTTGGCGAGCTGAGAAGAACAGCTTCTGGCCTAGCTTGACTGAGTTGGCGAATCCGTGGACTTGGGCTGTTCTTGGGAGTGGGGTTATTGGTGTTGTGCTTGAGGAAGGGGTTAGGTCTTATTTTGCTTAGGTGTACTCTGTTGAAGTATGATGATTTTAACATGTAATATTAAGAATTAATATATGAATTAATGTCAATTTTCTGTTCCTAGATGTCAGCCACTCCTGGCGCCTTATTCTATGAAACATGAGGAGGCGCTAAGACTACCAACAGAATTGCACGAGTGTGTAATAAGGAAGGGTGTGTCCAAGGAAAAAGCTTATTAAGAGACTAAAATGCTACATTCGAAAATATCCAAGATAGAGAGCCCTGCTCCAATGGTCATGAGAACGTATCTAACGTGCTCAGTCCCACAACAATATAGGACGCGAGCTGGCCATAGATCTTATCATGCAAACATTGAGCACGAGACTCCCCTTGCCATAGCCCTGCCGTGAGGAGTATTCGGGTGGCACAAACGTTGTTTATATGCTCATATCACGGTGAGATACATTTCCCTGCAAATACTCCGCTTTGTTGGCTCCGGCTGTGCAGTTCGCAAAGCTAGGAAGTGTCATACAGTAACCCGCACTTAACCCGCTCCTGGCGTAGAAGGTCGTTTGTTCGTAGGGGTCTGTAGGTATAGGCGAATCTCTTGTCTTCGACAGGATCACTGTTTCTAGGTTTGAATACTGGTTCTGTTTGATATTGACCATTGTTGTAACCCTAATTGTTTCCTCTGTTTCTTCCTTCCTTCCTTGAAGGTCCAGTAAGCTTTGCAATCCTCTCAACAGCCGAAACGTCATGAATGCTGCTTCTGATTAACACAAATTAAGTTGTCGTGAGAGTATTTTTACTCGTGTGTCACTCATCTAGACAGCAGCCAGCCTGGAAGCCCGCAATGCGGACTTGAATTCTCATATCTTCAGGCACAATTCCGAATCTCCATTGTTGTTTGCAGGGTAACCCGACAAGGTCCATTAAAAGCGAGATGCACTCCAGAGCGGATACTCTAGCCCCCCGGCCCCCTTCCCCCCAATTGATTTTTGGCGCAAAAAGCTTGTCTCGTCGTATGTCGAGTCAAACGAGCAACGAAACTCCCCTTTTTTGTAATGTTATTTTGCCTGAAAGAATTGCATCAGCCTCGTTTCATTATACTTGTGTCCATCCCCTAGTACTTACCAGAAACCTTCTTGGACTATTCTCCTCTCCTTCTTTCAACACGTTCCCCAATTTATGGTACCAAATTCAGGGAACTCTGTGTTACCTAACAAGTCTTAGGGCCCAGTTTTTCGTCATACACGCTATTTCCAGGGATCACGCACGCCTTGGAATTCCCAAAGGTTAGGGGAAGATCTTTGAGTACCGCAATTGGCGGACAAGGCTGGTGACATCGCTTTGTTCGCATATTCAAAGACTGTGGTAATGATTTTGGAAGACGACAATATCTCCTGGATTGTAGCGTCAAGGCCGTCAAGGGCGATGACCAAATCTTCAAGATAATCACTTCCCTTCGTAAAATCGCTGCGGATTAGCTTTCCAATATTTAGCACCTACTCCAATGTTCTTCTAATCATTATCTAAAATCTCGACGTTTGCCTTTAGCTTTCCTGATGCTGGGTGTGGTTTGGATACTTCCAATTCTCCAGCCCCTTCAAGAAGGGGTGTATGGGAATACAATCCCTGATATGGTTGTTAGCTACATCAGGTGTGTGTAAAACACGGTATTCAGTATAAGATGTCGCTCCTTGTTACAAGCGAGACGCGGCACTTGCCAAGTCATCGTCACAGCGTGCTCTAGCCTAGTGGACTAGCAGAGCTTGCTTGTGGAGATAGGGTTCGTATTTGGCTAACGTGGAAAGCCCATATTAGTTCTTAGAATTTCATCTTGATCTAAACTCTGGGAATTGTTCTGGATGTATTAGCGAACAATGCCTTTTGATTGAAAGTACACAAGATCAAAGCCCTTGGTCTTCTCAGCCGAGATTAGCCAGAGTGAAAGCTCTCATCATCCATAGTGACAACCCCCTCTAGAGATTTTTGGTCATCTTGAGAATTCGAAGAAGGGGCTTGTCGAATTCGATCACCAATGAACATGTGTATCATGTAGTATTCTGAGTTTGCTGCATCTGTAAATATCTTTATGAGAGGAGAAAATAACGAAAAGCTACAGTGAATGATAAGATCCAGGGTTTGTCTTCACGAGTACGCATGATCAGTGACTAAGATTATACATGGTGAATGCTTGGCCTTGTATTTCTATTTGAAATTGTGTATATAGCTTTCAGAATCTATCGAACAAAGATGACTATGTTTGCCTTCAGACATGAGTCGTAGAGGTCCATATATGTACTGGAATAGGCTCAATACCCCTTCCCCCGCTTGTACTCATTTACAAATTCCTCACCCTTCTTCAACTTATCCAGATTCACCCGGAGAATGTCCAGCGATCTTGGGAAATACTCCTTCCCCAAAGAACTAACATGCGGACTAATCTGCACACCCGGCACATCCCACAATGGATGATCAGCAGGCAGAGGTTCAGGATCCGTCACGTCCAACGCAGCGCCACCCAATTCTCCAGACTTGAGCGATGCCACAAGCGCATCCTGATCTATGACTTTTCCGCGCGAGATATTGGTGACATACGGCTTGCTGAAGGGATGGGTGCAGTTCGCGGCGAGGAGGGAGAATTCTTCCGCGCCGATGAGGTGGGTGGTTTGTGGGGTGAGCGGGAGGGAGATAACTAGGTGGTCGAGACCTAAAGAGAGAAACGCATGGATGGATGCTTTGTCTATGCCGTGGTGCCAGGAGACTGGGACTGTGCCATCTGCGTCGCCGGTGCCGGGGACAATATAGCCGGTGTCGCGTCGCGAGGAGGGCGTTGGCCGTGGGGATGCTGTGTATGCATGAACGGTCATACCAAGGGCTGCAGATACTTTTGCGACTGTATGCATGTTAACTCCGTTGACGAACCCGTTGACGTAAAAGGAACGCACTCTGTCGTCCAATACTTCCGTATCCCAAAATGCCCACTTTCTTCCCGACTTGATCAGTGCAAGTGGGCATGTACTCTTCGACATCTCCCCAGTTGTGTTGTTTCTGCGCTTCACTCAAATGAAGGAATTTCCTCGCAGAGGTCAACCAGTTCATTACGGTCCATTCTGCCATGGGAGGACCGTGGATGCCGGAACTGGTGCTGATGGGGATGGTAGAGTTCTGGATGATAGGGTGGTGGACAAAGTGGTCGATTCCAGCAGACACAGTATGGATCAACTTAATGCTATAGAACAATTAGTATCGAGGCTACTAATCAGGTTCCTAATGCACATACTTGCCAGCATCCTCAGGATCCGGAAGGTCGGTAAACGTGCAGACCAGCGTCGCATTTTGCCATAACTCTTTTGGTTCCGTTAACAATGTGAACATATCGTAGCAATGTGCTTATGACCAACCTCTTGGAACCGGAACGCCTTTCTGGGACTGGTAAATAGTGACCTCGGTCTCAGGGAACTGGCGCTGGATATGTGCGACCAGCGGAGCGGGGATCTCTTTGAAGAAAGTGACGAGCAGACGCTCTGCCTTTGAAATTCCCGTGTCGCCCATGGTATGCTATTGGAATTGTGTATATCTTTTTAGGATGTCTCGCAACCTAATCTGGTGGATGTTGACAAAATGCCCCTCAATGGTGCGAGGGGACATGTTACCACATTGGGACAGCGGGTGGTCGCTTGTAAAACATGTATATTTCATAAGGCAAAAATCCGGATTGTAGCGCGAGTTGTCTAGTGGTTATGATGTCGCACTCGTAACCGTCCTTTGGAATACGATATGCGAAGGTCGGGAGTTCGAATCTCCTTTCGCGCATCTCTTTTTTTTAAGCCAGAATTCCACACTTTCCTATCTATCCTTTGCGTCCTTTATATTTGTTGTCCTTTTCACTTTGCTTGTCTTCCACTCTCGAGATATCGAATCAAATAATAGCAGCAAACTTCCTTTGTCCCGACTCCAGCAAGCTACGCAACCGAATAATATGGAGCCACCACTGTCCATGCCAATCAGGGTCCAGTGGATATGGACCCTCGTCCCTCATGAGACCAGTCAATGCGCGAGGCTGACACCTGATGAGGCCATACTTTTGACCGGTCCGTACCGGCGTCGAATTCAGTTCGCCGGTCTCTGTTGATCACGATAATCAGAACACCACAGATTGCGCTCGACGCGAATTATCCTTGCTGTGATGTGACTGTGCAGAGAAAATCTTTTGATATTCAGGTTCGTGCATGTTCGTTCTGAATTCTACCGAGGATACTCTGCCATGCAAGCCTCTATCCATAGCTGTCACTTGTACTTTTTTACCCTGCGGTGTGGAGAGACCCTTATCAGACCGGCTAACCCCATAAACAGCTAAATAATTCTCCGGCTCAAAGATAATATTGGCCGTGATACGCGCCGAGACCGCTTTTTGAGTCGCATTCGGCACCCGTGTCCGTGTCTGTGTCCGTGTCTAACTATTCTTGTATGGGGTCCCCTCCCGGAACTCATATCGGCAAAAGCGGCCTCAGCTGAACGGGAAATGAACTGTGATTAACGCGAACTAGTAAAACTTTTGGGCCTTGGAAAATACCCATCACACTGTCGTGGGCCATCTGCGGCCTCTTTCTCCCGCCTCTTTCCCAGTTGGGTGATGGCCTTCCTCTGCCCCGTGCGGTATTTAGATTAGGGTTGGTTTAACTCGATCAAGAATGATACGTCAAAGGGAAAAAGTAAAGAGAATTTTTTTGGGCTGAGGCGGTAAATGAGCTGCTCTATCTTTTATTGCTGTTTGTCGCGTCGCAATCATTCCTCTTCCATCCTCCTAACCACACCAAACCCATATCACTTGAACCGCAACACTACGCAAAATGGCAGAGCAACGTCGCGGCAGAAGCCTAATCTGGCGCCTCCTTGCAGCCCTGGACCCCGAAGAGCCAGGTCTCCCCAGATTTCACCCCCTCAGCCAACAAATCCCACCCACCAACCAACCCAGCAACAACAACTACAACCCCGAATCCACCGACCCCCAAGCCTACCCTCACACCTACCCGCAACCCCCCATCCAACCAATCCGCCGCACAATCACCCAAACCGACAGAAACCACCTCATCCCCCCAGAAGACAAACTCTTGGTCTTCCGCGCCCTCACGGGCATCGACACCGTCCCCGCCCTTACTATCCCGCACCACTCCGACCGCCATGCCCCCAACGTGGGTATCTACGAGCGCGTCGTGCGCGCTGAGCAATCTGCAGACTCTCGGTATCGGTTTTTCAGCATTCTTATCAATGTCTGTTTGGGTATACAGGTCGTTGCTGCAGCCGCGATCACGGCACTGGGTGCCGCCAGCGGGCCACATTCCGCTGTTACAGCGTTCGGGGCTTTGAATACCATCATGGCTGGTATTCTCACATACCTAAAGGGCTCGGGCTTACCCGATCGACTTAAACACTACCAAAATGAATGGCGGAATATTCGGGAATACATTGAGCAGCGTGAACGAGAACTTTGTCTAGTCGGTAGTGAACTAGACGTACAAGAAGAGATCCAAATCGTGGAACGAATGTACGAGGGCGTGAAGCGCGAGATCGAAGCGACGAAGAGCGGGGAGAGTAGGACGCCGGCGGAGTATACCAGACGGTCTTTCTTGCCGCAGAGGCATCACCATCAGGAGCAGCATCCTAGGCCGCGGAGTCCGGAGAGTGATTATGGGACGAGTGCGGAGAAGTATCGTGCTTGATGCTTGAGTTGGCTAAGGGGGTTAAGGTGTTAATGTGCCTATGAATGATGGTGATTGGGCGTCGAATGATTTGACATGTATTTATCACGAAATAAATGATTATATTAAATAATATCAGCGATTCATCGATCTCACTACATGTATGCGAAATATCTCACGTGACTTATCAAGATAACCAAATCTGGACATCAACGATATCACCCCAACACCTCCAACCTCCAACCCAAACACTCCAATCCTCAAAAAAAATAGAGGATGCCCCTCAAGATTCACCCCGCCACACCCCGCGACTCCCCCGCTCTAACAACCCTCTTCCTTGCCGCCTTCTCCGACCCCTTCAACCACGCTTTATTCCCGCGCACGCCCGACGTGCGCGTGTGGTGGGAGGAAAAGTTTGCGAGGGAAGCAACTGCGCCGGGACAGGCTTTGTTGAAGGTTGTTGATACACCTGATAATGCATCTGGTAGTTCGGGAGGCAATGAAAGTGAAGGGGAGATAGCAGCGTTTGCGATTTGGAAGTTTCCGGCATATCAATCACAAGAAAATCAGAAAGAGAGGGGTAAAACAGGAGAGAAAGAGGAAGGCCAATGGCCCCAAAGTAGTGACCCAGCTCTCTGCGAGCGATTCTTTGGCGGTATGGCTGCGAAACGAGAGGAATATATAGGCTCGAAGTCGCATTACTGTAAGTCCTCCATCCCTCCTTATCCATGCATCCTCTGCTCCTTATATAAATGCCGTGTTCCTGCATACCCTGCATATGTACCACATATATCTAGTACCTCGTACAGTATTTAACTGCGCAGACCTCGACATGCTCGGCACACACCCCTCCCACAACGGGAAAGGAATCGCCTCAATGCTCCTAAAATGGGGTCTTGATCGTGCAGATAGTGACAGAGTACCCGTATTTCTGTCTGCGTCTCCGGCGGGCAAGCCTATGTATGAGAGGAGGGGTTTTCGGGTTGTGCAGGAGGAGGAGGTTGCCGGGGGGTATGTGCAGGCGTATATGGTTAAGGATTAACACGCAAAGTACGACTGATTCATATAGTATAGAGGAACTGTATAGACGAGTGTATTCAAAAGTTACCCATAGCAGACGAACTCCATAGGAAAAGAATCAAGTATTAACCAAGACAAAATGCAAGTCATAAGTCGTAACATAACTATAAATAAGGGTAGAGTCTCGATTATGCCTTTCCTCCCAGCCGCTCTAATCGCTCTCTGAGCGTGTCCACCTCGCCGTCAGACCGTTTCTCCTTGAGCGATATAGAGCGATACTCGCCATCGCCGCCAGGTGCACCAACAGTCACCCAGACAAACTTGCCGCCGCTTCCGCCTTGAGGACGTTCTTGCGAGCCCTCCCAGAACATCTCCGATGATGAGCCATCGTCAGAAGGTGCGGGGGAAGGTCGACCGCCAAGTCGTCCCTTCTTGATCCACACTTTCAAGACGTCCTTCATGAACTGGATCTTCTCCAGGAAGGAGTTCGCCTCAAGTACATCTCGGATTCGCTCATCCACGGAGCTCGTCAACGTGCCGTGGGCAATGCTCAGAAATGTCACTGCTTCGTCGGAAGCAACAGCTCGGGTGTCAAATCCGGAAGGGTGCATCTTGCCCTTGGCGGCAAGGTAACGTGCGGCAGATGGGGAGAGGTGGTAGAAGTCGATCCATGGCGAGGAGGTCCGTGTAGAGCCAGGCGAGATAACAAGCTTCGTGTGGTCGGGGAAGTTGAACTGAAAAGCGCCATCACCGAATCCCCAAACACCAACATTGCCCAGGCGCTGGTAGAATTTGATGAATTGACCATCGCTCTTTGTAAGGTCATCATCGGCCAGGCCTTCGTCGCCATGTCTACCCAGAGATCCAATCATATACTTTCCGAACTGGTCGACCAGCTTAACCCGTTTGATCTTCTCGTAGTCCGCAGGCCCATGTTCACCATGGAGGTCATGACGAAGCTTGATTCCAACGCCAGATCCATTCTGATACCGCTTGACTTCGAACACCGATGGTGGAATGAACGCACGTCGAACAGCGCTCCGAGGGACTAATGGATCGTTGTCGCAATTCTCGTATAGCTCAATCGGCAATCCATTCCGAGGCACCAACTGGTCCACCTCCGAATACTCGTAGTTCTTCGTCTCCTGACTTCGTGCCTTACGACGAATGTGCTTCTCTCCAGCTCGCAAAACAACACTACTCGCTGGCTGTCCATTCTCGGCCTTGAAAACGCATCCAACGCTGCCATCATCCAAGACATAGCCAATTCCGTACCTATTGGTATAATCAACCCACTTGATGACATACGCATGGGGTTCGCGTCTGGAACCGGGTCGTCTACGGACCGAGGATTGCGGAGCAAGGTGGGAAAGCATAAGTCGCAAGTCAGTATTCACCTCGCTAACGGAGGTCCTTGGCACGACCTGACATGGATCCCGAGCATGAAATAGCGGATGTGCTCCAAGAGACGAACGAGGCTTGCTGGCAGTGGATGGTCCGCTAGTACTACCGGATCGGGTCACTGGTGTAGGAACCTCAGTCCTAGAGCGACGGGAGTTTGCTTCAGGCAACTTCTTCACTGGCTCCTCATTGTTTTCCGGCTTTGGTGTCGAAAGCACTTCGACATCAGTCATCCTCGATGTTGGGCGTGATGGAGGTGGTTGCTTTTTGGCGGGTACTTCCTTGGTTATTACTGACGGGACTCTCTCCGGAACAGTTGCCTGGCGAGTTAGCCCTTGGCTGTTGGCAGCTTCTAATCTCCTAGACTGGGAGCGGGTCTTGCCAACTGTGAGCATAGCAGGAACGGTGCTTGACTTCGTGATTGCTCCCGCAGCGTTACTGTCTGCACTTCGGATCGATCCAGAATAAGAAGCAGCTACGCCTCTGCGTGGTCGCATGGGTCGTTCGGCCAGGCCACCAATAGCAGGAGGTGCCGGAGCAGCATCGGCTTCAGCAGACTTAGCTTCCAGAATTGGCTGAAAAGTTTGACCTGCTGGATCGTTGATTGCGGGTGCCTTGCGTGTCGAACCTCGTCCGATTGACGGTTGTCGCAAAGTAGCCGCGTGGCTTTGGGACTCCTTTCGCCTTTGTTGCGCGGCCAATAGAGCCGTCTGTGTCCGCGAGAGTGATGCCGTGTTAATTGAATTGTGCCGGAGAGACATACTGCGGCTCGAAAGAACGCTGCTATCCGGCGAGGAGTCATCCTTGCGAGACGGAAACGCAGGATCGGGGAGACTCCAATCTCCATCTGGATCATGGGGGTATTTGTAAACGAAGTCCGGTGGTAACGGGATCACGGGGTTGAGTCTCCTTTCTTCCTCCACGGCACACTCAGCATATGCCGTTTTGTTGCAATTCTTTCCGGCCGCCCTGCGAACAGTTCCATCTGGTTTTCTCCCCACACCACATAGCGTATAGAACGCAGCCTTACAAACCCGGTAACGCTGGATCGGATCTTCAACATGCTCGATGTATCCGGATAACCGTTCGTCGTGTTCCAAACTATGACTACGCATCATGGTGTCGCCGCGTGGTGTCTGTGACCTCAGCCAGACCGGCTTGGTATGAGAGCATGCTGGATCGAGGCGTGCAGGTATGCATCCATCGTACATATCGAAGAATGGGTGCTCAACGATATCGTCTGGTTCCGGACGTTGTTCCTCCTCCAGATTAAGACATGAGTCAACCAGGCTCTTGGCCTCTTCCGGGATATCGTTGGCGCACTCGGACCCTTTGGGCCAAACGTAGACCAGATTCCGCACCTTCTTATAAATTTCTTCTTGCGTTTTCGATTGGAATGGGGGGTAACCGGTGAGCATGGCGAAGCTAGAGTGCAATTTTGTTAGTTGGACAATGCTGTGGACAGGATAGTAAGCCCTTACCAAATAACCCCCAGGGACCAAATATCAACTTTCTGCGTATGTCCCCGTTTTGTCTTATCCAAAATCTCAGGCGCGATGTAGTTGGGCGTCCCGCATAGTGTCGTTCTCCGCCTTTCGTCCTTCTCTGACATGATCATTGCAGCAAGTCCAAAGTCTCCTACTTTGATATCCATGTTGTGGTCCAAGAACAAGTTCCCCATTTTCAAATCCCGATGGGCGACATGCCGCTTATGAAGGTATTTAACCGCTCCGCATAGTTGAATCATAATCCTTCTCACTTCGGGCAAACTGAGACACCTTCTTTTCCTGACCATGTCCATGATGGAGCCGTTGGGGCATAATTCGAGAACGACGTAGATGCTGTTGTGGAAGGTAAAGGCTCGATGGAATCGGACGATGTGGGGATGTCGCATTTTCGAATGAATTTGGAGTTCAGTTTGGAACTGCGCGACTTCATTAGTATGAAGGAACCTTTAAAGGTGGAACAAATAGCAAGCATACCTTCTCCTCCATCTTCTTCTGCTTCATCTCCGCCTTCACCACCTTCATCGCAAATACACGTCCATTGCGCATTAACCTCCCTTCATAGCATATCGCAAACCCTCCTTTGCCCAGAAACCCGCCGGTCGTGTACCGTTCTCCTTCCACATCAGGCTCTACCACGATTGCCGGTGGAGGTTGTGCATGATGATCCTTCATCACAGGGGCCTTTTGTTTGGCTTTGGCAGCGGCGGCAGCAGCATTTTTATCCAACACCTTCCGCTCCATCGCCACCTTAGGTTTGATCACCTGGTTTGTAGATCGCGGTGTCAATGCCTCCATGATGGTTTTTGTCCCTTCTCAGGTGAACATCGAACGATTATAAACTGGCGGTGACTCGAGGTCTAGTATATCCAGGTCGTAATGGTCATCAAGTATAGCGATGAATGCAAACTGATTATAGTCACAATAGGGCTTTTACAGTCCCCGGGTATCCCTAAACCTTGTCAGCTGTCAATTGCATTGATTTTTGGTTCCGTATCGGGAGATGCATAGCTTGTGACAAAGAGAGGCATTGCACACGGGTTCAAAGACTTACCAAAAACAACAATGACGCTCAAAAGAAAAAAAAAAAAAAAAAAGGCAAATAAACCGAATTAAGCAGAAAAACAAAGACAAGAAATGCAAGCACCTCCGAGAGACAGCGGCGAGGGAACGGGAGCAGGTGGGGGAGAAGAGAGGAAAAGAAGCGATGAGGTTGCCGAAAAGTAAGGATTGCAGCCGCCAAACGGACTGCCTGAAGAGGAAATCGATAAACATTGACCAGAATGCCGTAACAACGGGCGGTGTTTATGTCAGCAGGACAGCGCATTTGCACTAGGCCTATATAGGAATGTGGGCTTGTGCCTGAGGGACCGGGCAGCGATGACGACGTGGGTAACTAGCCATCTTCAAATATTGTTGTCCCTCGTCGGCTTTGCTTACACAAACTTCATCCTCCACTTAATACAAATAGCCACCATGTCTCTTACGCTGAAACTCTCCTCACTTGTCATTCGGACACTGTCCAAGCCCATTGCGGTGAGCCACACTGCCCCTCTTTTTTGGGGAGCTCATGCTGATCCGTGACTCTGTGACCCCAGAATCAACTCAAAGCACAGGCCCGTGAGCATGAACGCTTCCGACGGATATGCGTCTCCATGGCGCAGTCTCTTCACCGCATGGACATGCGGTTACGTCTCGGTCTCTTGCGCGATAGCACCACCGCAGAACGACGAGCAGCTGCTGAAGCCGCAGCCCGGAAACATAAGCCCACATCTCCGACCGTGAAAACACAAGCAGAGAGCAAAGCGGAAGAAGAGGCAATAGCAAAAGCAAAGGCTGCGGCCACAGAAGCAGAAAAACCGGCTCCGAAGCCTCATATCCGCCCGCTGTCGGAGTCGAAAGCCATTGAATCAGGGGCGTCGTTTATCAGCGAGTCTTTCCTGTTCATAGTGGCCGGTGGGTTGATTGTCTACGAGTCTCTGAGGTCCAGGAGGAAGGAGACTACACGGCGGGAAGATGTCGAGTCTCGGTTGGTTGAGCTGGAGCAGTCGGAGAAAAATTCCCGGAGGGCCTTGGTAGCTCTTGAAACAGAGTTGCTACAGCAAAAGGCCAAGAACGAGACTTTATCGCTGAAGTCGCCATCTCGGATTCTGCCGCGTGAGGTGTGGGAGGTTGAACAAAAAGAAGAGGCCGAGGATGCTAAAGAGGAAGGATGGCTGTCGCAAATTGGATCGTATATTTCGTCTCTCTGGGACTCTGTGAGCAATCCGCAGAGCTCTGCTACGCCAGAGAGTGCAGCGCCAACATCGAAAAAGGCCTCCGACGCTCGGCCAGAGAGCTCATCAGCTGGCCAAGCTGATAAGGATACCCAGCCCAAGAGTTCTTGAGGGATTGGATGGTCCTATTTCCATTCACTGATAGATATAGACTTGCCTTTTCTTTGTTATATTATTTGCATGCTACCAGGATACCCTACTCTTTTGCAAAGAAACATACGAAGTGTGGATGCCGCGTTATTCGGACCACGCCCGTGTATGTACTTTATGTGTATATAAAACTCTCCTACTCCATTGAGAATATAACTGCATCAACGAACAAACAGCTTTGCATTTAGACCAAACCACTATGTTTCCGCATAGTACCTTTTCACAACCTCTTGAATAGTCCCATTCGGATTGCCCTAGAGCCTGTCCTTCTGACTTCACCTATTCTCCTCGTCCTGCGCTTTTACAGCCATCGATATATATATCATTATTTGGGATGCCAATAATTCGACGCCGTGGCTTTAGTTTCCGTCTAGTATCAGATCCGGCTTTACAAGTGACGTATAGTCATATATAAGTACCCTCGAGCACATGGAAAGAAAGCTAACTTGGACCACTACAGACTATAGAGGAAAAATGCATTGGACAAACCCCAGCAATCAGGCCATTCCTCTCCGCTTCAAATAGGAAGACTATAACAAACTTAATAACCATCATTATGTCCTGTTCACAATCTTCCTCCACGGTCTTTGGGTTAAAGTCTATCCACATGTGTCTGATCCTGACTCTTAGTTATCTTTCCAGATGGTAAATTGATATATGTTAAGAATTGGCTACAAGAAGAGCAGGCGGATATATGCCTAGTCCTGCTTCCTTCCCTGCATCCAAGAGTACATGACCAGCATCGTGGACCTGCCGTTGCCGTATACAAACAAGTATTCCGAGCGATTTATTTCCACCGTTGCGGGCATTGGGTCAAGCGGTTCGCGGTCTGGAGGGACAGGCTGTTATACGGGATTCCTTGGGAGATGAGGTGTCTGGGACAGAGGTTGGGCGTCCGAATAGAATCTGACAAGTTCTCCTTTTCTGTCAGAAGCACTGACCAATATCCTATTGCTAGACGATGCGTCGAAGCCCAAATCGTGCCCAAGTCTGGAAAAGGAGCACGTTTAGATATGATGCGGCGAGAAATGACAGTAGTGTCTTCTTATAAGATGCGTACAACCAAGGACCGTAAATCAAAGCACCGGCGTTCTGACACTTTGGATTGGCGCATTTAAATGCGTAAATTCTCCTGATTTCCTTTTGGAGGCAAAGGATTGCGCGTTAGAACTGGAGCCACAGTGTGGCGCAGTCACTGGCAGTCTTTCCCTGACGGACGGCTATTCTCCATCGTCGTCATTCCCCATTCCTCTCGAACCTCCCGTACTTACTCTACCTACTCTACTCTTTCACATTCACTCTCTTGGTGTGTTATACCAATTTATACCACTCTTTTTGTTACTGTTCTATTTATATATTCTCTCTATCCTACGCTCGTTGCTTGTCGGCCTTCCCCGCCACTTGGAATGAGTACTATCCCACCTCCCGCATTGCATCCGTAAACCTGTCCCTCCCCCAGAATTCATCTACCTCCTTCCGTTCGGACTCGGCGGAACCCCTGTCGCCTGGCGCGAATTCAGGAACAATCGCTTAACACACAATCATGGTGAGTTGAGTTTTGTTACTACAGTCGATTCCTCGCAGTCATACTATTTCAGGCACGCGAGACTAATATGCGATCGCCCTCAGGGACACTCACGACGACCCGTTGGCGGAGAGAAGAAGGCTCGAGGCTTTGGTCGCTCGAGGGCTACGGCCGACATTGGTGATGGTCGAGGAGCAGGAGGAAAGCCTCAGGTTAAGAAGGCTGTGTTCGAGACTACGAAGAAAAAGGAGATCGGAGTATCGGACCTTACGCTGCTCAGCAAGATCTCCAACGAGGCCATTAACGATAACTTGAAACTTCGGTTCGAACATGGCGAAATTTATGTAAGATACCCACTGCTTGGTTATACGAGAATCGCAGCGTCGTGCGCGCTGGATATGGAATCAGGGGCTAACAGCGTACCTTGATAGACCTATATCGGACATGTTTTGGTGTCTGTCAACCCCTTTCGAGACTGTATGTTAATTGCTTCATGCGAATGATTTCGAATTTCTTCACTGACAGGTCGCAGTGGGTATCTACACTGATCAGGTCCTCGAATCCTACCGGAATAAGAACCGTCTCGAAGTTCCGCCCCATGTCTTCGCCGTGGCCGAATCTGCCTACTATAACATGAACGCATACAAGGACAACCAATGTGTGATTATTTCAGGAGAATCGGGTGCCGGAAAGACGGAAGCTGCCAAGCGGATCATGCAGTACATTGCCAGTGTATCCGGCGGCAGTGACTCCTCTATTCAGGAGACCAAGGACATGGTTTTGGCCACCAATCCTCTGCTCGAGTCCTTTGGTAACGCAAAGACCCTGCGCAACAACAACTCGTCGCGATTCGGAAAGTACCTAGAGCTGGAATTCAACGCCCAAGGCGAGCCTGTGGGGGCGCACATCACCAACTACCTGCTCGAGAAATCGCGAGTTGTCGGACAGATCACGAATGAGCGGAACTTCCACATCTTCTACCAGTTCACCAAGGCGGCCCCGCAAAAGTACAGAGGTAGGAACTGGCTTATATTGATTCTTCCGTACACGTTGGCTTACGTGTCATTTAGATCTGTTCGGTGTACAGCAACCGCAAGCCTACATGTATACGAGCCGGTCGAAGTGCTTCGATGTGCCAGGAGTAGATGATAATGCCGAATTTCAGGATACCTTGAATGCAATGAGTGTCATTGGTATGACGGAGGCAGAGCAGGACGACGTTTTCCGTATGCTTGCAGCGATTCTGTGGATTGGAAACATTCAATTTGTCGAAGACGACCAAGGGAACTCCGCCATCGCAGACGAGTCGGTCATTGCATACGTTGCATACTTGCTCGAGGTTGACTCGCCGTCGGTACACCGAGCTATGACAATCCGCTTGATGGAGACGGCACGTGGTGGACGCCGAGGATCGGTGTACGAAGTGCCCTTGAACACGACACAGGCACTCGCTGTCCGTGACGCTTTGTCCAAGGCAATCTATTTCAACCTCTTCGACTGGATCGTGGAGCGCATCAACTCTTCTTTGACCGCCAGAAGCTCGATTTCCAACTCGATCGGTATCCTGGATATTTATGGATTCGAAATCTTCGAGAAAAACTCGTTTGAACAGCTTTGTATCAACTATGTGAACGAAAAGCTGCAACAGATTTTCATTCAGTTGACCCTGAAGGCCGAACAAGATGAATATGCTCGTGAACAGATCAAGTGGACACCCATTACCTACTTCGATAACAAGGTGGTGTGCTCGCTAATCGAAGACAAGCGCCCCCCTGGTGTTTTCGCTGCCCTGAACGATGCCTGTGCGACGGCTCATGCCGATTCGGGTGCTGCGGATAACACCTTCGTCGGTCGTCTTAACTTCTTGGGACAAAACCCCAACTTCGAGAGTCGCCAGGGTCAATTTATTGTCAAGCATTATGCCGGTGATGTCAGCTACTCGGTTCAAGGAATGACTGACAAGAACAAGGATGCCCTGCTCAAAGATCTACTGAACCTCGTTGGGTCGAGCAGCAACCCGTTTGTCCACACGCTCTTCCCGAACCAGGTTAACCAGGACGACAAGAGACGGCCGCCGACTGCTAGTGACAAGATCAAGACCTCTGCTAACGACCTGGTAGCGACCCTTATGAAGGCGCAGCCCTCTTACATCCGAACAATCAAGCCCAATGACAACAAGGCGCCAAAGGAATACAACGTTGGGAACGTCCTGCACCAGATCAAGTACCTGGGTCTCCAAGAGAACGTTCGGATCCGACGTGCTGGTTTCGCTTACCGTCAAACCTTCGACAAGTTTGTTGAACGTTTCTATCTGCTGTCGCCCAAAACATCCTATGCCGGTGAATATACATGGACTGGTGACGTCGAAACCGGAGCTCGCCAGATCTTACAGGACACTAGTATCCCCGCAGAGGAATACCAGATGGGTATCTCGAAGGTGTTTGTCAAGACCCCAGAGACTCTCTTTGCCCTGGAAGCAATGCGTGACCGTTACTGGCACAACATGGCCATTCGTATCCAGCGTGCTTGGCGAAACTATCTGCGGTATCGCATAGAATGTGCTACCCGCATCCAGCGTTTCTGGCGTCGCATGACTGGCGGCCTTGAGTATATCAAGGTTCGTGATCAGGGCCACAAGATCCTCCAGAACCGCAAGGAACGCCGACGGATGAGTCTGCTTGGTTCTCGTCGGTTCCTGGGTGATTATCTTGGAGTGGCGAACAAGGGCGGTCCTGGAGAGATGATCCGCAGCAATGCTGGCATCAGTGGTAGGCGCCATTGTTCCTATTTCTTAGTGAATTACGACTAACAAAAACTGTAGGAGCGGAGGATGTCCTATTCTCATGCCGTGGTGAGGTTTTAATTTCCAAATTTGGCCGATCCAGCAAGCCTGCTCCTAGGATGCTTGTTTTGGTAGGTATTTTAAATATCATACTGGTCATATCTTTACTAATTCTATATCTTTTTTACAGACAAACCGACATGTGTTCATTGTCGCGCAAAACCTCGTCAATAACCAATTGGTGATCTCGTCGGAGCGAACGATCCCAGTCGGTGCAATCAAGAGCGTCAGCTGTTCAAACCTTAAGGACGACTGGTTCTCTCTTCTTGTAGGCAGCCCGCAGGAACCTGATCCTCTTCTGAACTGCGCTTTTAAGACGGAATTTTTCACCCACCTCAACACTGCTCTCCATGGGTCGCTGAACTTGAAGATAGCAGACCAGTATGTCTCCCCTAGCGCGTGTATTTGATTATTTTCAAACTGACAATTTCTAGCGTTGAGTACAACAAGAAGCCCGGCAAAATTGCTACAGTCAAGGCCATCAAGGATTCAACCGTTGTGAGAGATGACTTGTACAAGAGTGGTACAATCCACACAGGCCAGGGAGAGCCTGCCAATGCTGTTTCCAAGCCAACACCACGACCGAAACAGGTGGCAGCCAGACCTGTTACGACCGGCAAGCTGCTTCGTCCTGGAGGTCCTGGAGGCGGTCCATCCAAGCTGACATCCCGACCGAAACCTGCGCCAGCGCCTCAACCTTTGCCTGGAGCAAGTTTCCCCGCACCGGCGCCTGTCCAACATAAGCCCGTTCCTCAGTCCGTGTCCGCCGTGGCAGCTGCTGCAACTGCACATAGCCGGACCGGCTCTTCGGGTTCTGTGAGGGCTCCTCCACCGCCTCCGCCCGCGCCGCCTGCGGCTGCAGCGGCACCGAAGAAGCCCGTGGCCAAGGCTTTGTATGATTTCTCTAGTGTTCAGGCCAACGAACTGTCTGTCCGGCAAGGTGAAATCGTCCAGGTGGTGTCCCGGGAAGGAAATGGTATGTTACAAACTTTATTTATCTTGGGAGACGTGAGACGTCTGCTAACTAGACATAGGATGGTGGCTTTGTATGAACATGACGACCTCCGTCCAAGGCTGGGCACCTGAAGCCTACCTGGAGGAGCAAGCCGCACCGGCACCCAAGCCGACGCCCCCGCCCCCGCCACCAGCCGCACCCCGAGCGGTTCCCAGTCCAGCGCCGAACGGAGCCGCCACGGCAGCAGCAGCCAAGGCCAAGCCCGCACCGCCAGCTCCGCCAGCTAAGAGACCCAACATGGCAGGGAGGAAGACGGCACCAGCACCTCCGCCGGCACCTCGAGACAGCGCCGTTAGCATGAACCAGGAGTCGAACAGTGGACGAGCGACGCCAACGAACGCCAGTTTGGCAGGTGGATTGGCAGAGGCATTGCGGGCACGGCAGAGTGCGATGAGGGGAAAGCAGGATGATGACGATGAGTGGTGATTTCTTTTCTTCCCTTTTCTTTTCGCTTTGGCTTTCTTTCATTACAATCTTTTGCCGTTCTTGTTGCTTTGTTAGTACCCTTAGAGTGTTCTTGCTTTGCTGTTTGCTTGAGCTGCATACCCTGCTTGGATGAGTGGTTGGATAGATCTATTTTGTTCAGTTTAGTTTACATACAGTACATATGTACCGGATTTCTAGACTTTATTTCCCCCCTTTCCTTTTAGAGCTCAATTGTCTTCGCAGTGATAGTGCGCCTTAGACAACCGTGCCAGGCGTAGCAAACCCTACATCTTACCAATCATAATTCCATCTAAAAATACAGGCATATAATTGCTCATTGCATGATCTGATAGGCTATTTAATAATAGTTGATCCTTCAATCCTTTGTAACACAATGTACAGCTGTTAGCTAACTCACCAACATAGCCAACATGATTTGCAGTCAAACTTGTCGTGGGCTGCAAGACAACTTGATACAAACAAATAATATGCCTGTTTTCGGCCTTACCGGTTGTCCACTGATCTATCAGTACGTGCCCATCAGGCTGAGCAGCGTCATTATATGCAGCGGGTTCCGACACGTCAGGAAGGCTGGATCTGGAAATGAGGCTCTAATGCCGTTTATAAGAGGACGCGGTGTAATTGAAACAAATCTCGCATTCAACTAGAAGTTTGAAAGCATAATCAGAGAATCCACAAACATGCAACCCTTAACCAAATCCCCCCGTGGCCGTCGCAGCCCCCCCGGCGACGACATCGAGAAACAAATGATACAAGCACAAGCCGGTAAGCACGATACCGACTGGCCTATCCCCTACAAAACAGTCGAACACAAAAGTAATCACCTCCCAGTCCCAGTACCCCAACGACCCCCCGAAGACCAACCCGCCGGCTACCCCCGACTCTCAGCACACATCGCAGCCGACGACACCCATCAAATCTACCGCCGTTTCTCAACCCTCCGCACAAGAATACTACTCTCCAAACAAGATTCGCTATCCGTCCTTGAGAATAAACTTGATAAGATTGACCGGGCAGAGAAGTGTAAGGTGTTTTTGGAAAATAGACGGAGAGATCGGAATCAGGAGAGGCAGAATGTACTGTTGCAGATTGAGGGGGAGTTGGCTGGATATGGTTGGTTTTTTCCTGTTCATGGAAGGTGTTGGCTAGTATGTGCTAATGACAATGGCAGATGAGCTTGTTGAGAGAAGTGCGCGGGTTGCGAGTTATACGCAGGCTCGGAAAAGAGATGTTGAAAGATTGAAGAAATGGGTTGATGAGAATGGTTGTATAGCAAAAGAAGAGAGTCGGTATCTTGGTCAAGGGAAGGATTTGTTTACGTTTAGTTCGGAGGATGAAGATCCGTTGTCACGGCTTGAGCGGTCCGTGGAAGATGCTTTGATTCCGTTCTTCAAAACCTATTACAAGGTCAGTCAGCGATCACCACTACACCCGGCATCAAGAGATGCCTGCTTAAAGAACAGCAGAAACAAACTACCCAAGACACACCACCCAACGGCAACGTCTCCATCCCATCAATATTCCTCGCAAAACGAGTCGCCCGGGCATCAATGGCCGCAATAGTGACAACCGCCCTTCTATTACCCATGCTCGTATGCAACTTCCTGCCAAGTCCCACTGCGCGAGTGGCTATTACTGCGATCTCAGTTATGGTCTTGATATCGATGATGTCAGGGTTTACGAAAGCGAGAAGCATTGAGGTGCTTGCTGCGAGTGCTATGTTAGTATATCTGATATTTGCTTTTCTGTGTTGGAAGGAATAGTTGCTAATGTGTTTTGGGGCTATAGTTATGCTACTGTTATGATGGTGCTAATTACGAATGGGTCGTGATGAGATATATATGGATCTTGACGCCGTTTTCCCACTGGCGATATAACAAATCCCCAGAGGACTCTAGCCAAGATGAGCACTGAGACATAAGGCGTCAGCACAGGGCACGTCTGGTCTCCTTGGCTCCGGCATTTCCTCCGTTCATTCTTTTCCTAGTTCAGCGCTGGCGCTTGTATAGTCACAGGCTTGGGCCATGTCATTCCCTTATACATTATTTTCCTTTGTTTTATTTTGATGTCATATCATTACTACTGCTATAATACTACTACTGCATATCAAAATCTCAATCTGTCTCACACAATAAGAAGATGCTATATTACGGAAGCGAATCACGTGTCAATTTCGGGATTGAAAACGACCCCCGAAGCGGGACCAACGTCACTAATCACCTTCCTCATAGAATGCCGAATTTCACCAACAGTCCCATTGAATGTACCTGTGCAGCTGTGTCACAAGATGGACCAACCCAGCCAATCACAAACCAGTCTATTATCTCCCAACCGGAGTAGCTCATACAACCGAAGCTGCATTCAGTGCAACCGCCGGAAAGTCCGCTGCGACAGAAATGACCCGTGTGGCCGTTGCGTGAAATGTGGAGAACCATGTGTATTCCCGGGACCTAAACGGGCACCTCGGAAACTTAGGCGGCCGCCTATTTCTGAAGTCGTTGCGCGGTTGAGGCAATTGGAGGAGGTAGAGAGGCTTCGTTCTGGGTCCCCTGCAAGTGATCATGGGTTACCCTCGAGTGTGTCTTCATGTTCGGATGTGTTCCGTACGGATAACCATGAGGGTAAATTGATAGTAAAGGAGGGGAAGAGTCGGTATGTGGGTGATGAGGCGTCTGCTGTTCTTGGGGATAAGGTGTGTTTGACCTTTTGATTTATTATGGCCCTTAAGTTAATGTTGTAGGTTCGAGAATTACAGGACATTTGTAGTGATTCATCTTCTGAAGGGGATTTCGACGAGCTAGATGCTTCTGTCCTGCGCTTTGTCGGTTTCCTCGGAATCGACCGGACTCCTGATGTTTTGCAAAGGAGCCACCTCTATCCTTCGCGTATTCAAGAGCTGTGGCATGTCTATCAAATCAATGTTGCACCGTTGATAGCGATCCTTCACAAACCATCTGTTGATGAAATGCTATGTCAAGAATCTGAAAATATTAATCCAGATCCTGCCCGTGAGGCTTTGCTACTCTCAGTATGCCACGCCGCTATTGTCAGCATGAGCCCGAAGCAGTGCATCGAGGTGCTAGGCGAGGATAGTGAGACACAAATCCAAAAATACAGATTAGCTACTGACCAAGCCTTGGCAAGAGCCAACTTTATCAAATCCCAGGACATTCACGTTCTACAAGCAGCCGTACTGTTCCTGCTCTGTCTCCGCCGGAAAGGGAACACGAGGCTTGTATGGGCCGCATCTGCTGTGGTAGTCCGCGTTGCCCAAGGACAGGGTCTCCATCGCGATGGGCAACATTTGGGATTGAGTTATTTTGACACGGAAATCCGTCGTCGATTGTGGTGGCATATATGCATCTTAGATATGCTGTGCTCTGGAGACCAGGGGACAGATTCACAGATTCAGCCTGGGATGTTTGATACACGACTCCCTTCCAATGTCGACTGTGATGTACTTTACCCTTCTTTAACGGAGATGCCACTTGAAAAAGTTGGTTGTACAGACATCACACTCTGTATTGTCCAGTGTGAGATAATTGCGAGCCTCTATTGGCCGAATAAATTCACCGGAGCCAACCTGTCAAGAAACAACCAAGAGAACCTCGTAAAATCACTGGCATACCGACTTGAGAATCAATACCTGAAACATCTGGATCTGGAAATTCCGGTCCAGTGGATGTACGCAACAATCGCCCGACTTACTCTCTCCAAATCATGGTTATTAGCCCATTGCAAGACATCAACGATGGGAGAAGATGGACCAGCCATGTCCCAAGAAACTGATGACAAAGCTTTCAACATGGCCATTGAGGTTGTTAAATTTGCCCACTTACTGCACACCAACGAGTCTACCTCACAATGGGCATGGCTCAGCAAGAGCTACAAACAATGGCATGCCATTGCATTCATTCTCTCAGAACTCTGCACTCGCCTCATCACACCAGAAACCAACCACGCATGGGAAGTGGTTACCGAGGTGTATCGACAATGGGAGGATGATGATACACAAACAAGTCTTATGCTCCGGAAACCTATATCACGCTTGATGGAACATGCAGCACTGTCAAGAGCGGCTAAGATGCCATTTAACCAGCTTGCAGGGAGTAGTCCTTCTATAGGTGCTCCATTAGGAGAACCTGCATCTAATTCGGAAATTCTTTCTCCCGGAATGTATGGATTACCTCTATCTGGCATGGAATGGCTTTGTGAGCCATTGCTGTGATGTATCTGGAGTGATAGGCTGTCATAATACCGGGCGAGTATGTCCGGCATTTTTTCATGTCTCCCCTTTTCTGTATATTCGAGTCTCTCACCAGAATTATATGAATTTTTTATCTACTTCGTCTTCAATAAGCCATCTTGAATGTTATGCAGGTTCGGGGTTGTTCTCAACGCCGAGTGACCGAGTGGCGAACGTTTACTCATGCTCGGGGTTGGTCTTAAAGCCAAACTTCTACATATATGCTAAGCCATAAAGAGCAACAACTTATAAAAGCAAGTAGCCTCCATGCATGATTGTTCTCTATACGTATTCGAACCAACACTGAGCTCATATCTGCAAAGAAAATGGCTGCCGTGAAAAACATCGCAATCATCGGGGTATGCACGCCCAAGTCCGAACTATTATCATATACTAACAATTGACCAGGCTAGTGGCCTATTGGGAAGCCGCATAGCCACTGCTTTAGTTATCGCAGGATACAGCGTCACTGCTGTCCAGCGCAAAGTCTCACAGAAGCCGATTCCAGCCGGGCTACGAGTTGTCAAGACGGATCTCGGCGATGAGACCGGCTTAACTCAGATTTTTGATGGACAGGATGTTGTAATCAGGTGAGTCTTTACATCCATCATTTGGGCTACCCGTGCAAATTCGTAACCTTGTTCCTGAAGTGCTGTCGGTATACCAAGTTTTGAAACCGAGAAGGTCTGGATAGACGCTGCCATCGCTGCATCCGTGAAACGCATCATCCCCTCAGAATTTACCACAAACATGGAATCCCCTCTAGCCATCCAACTCCCCGTCGCAACCGAAAAGGTGAAAGTTCGTCAATACCTCACTTCAAAAATCAGCAACACTTCCGCACCGACGACTTGGACCTCGCTGAACAATGGTGCATTCCTCGATATGACCATCAAGTTTGGCGCATTGGGTCCCAACCCGATTACCAAGCAGGCTATCTTCCACAACGGTGGGGACAATGAGATCGGGCCTTCTACTTTAGCTGATATCGCTGATGCTATTGTTCGCATTTTGGACCCGGCAAATTTCGCAGACACGACGAACCAGGCAGTGTATATCCATTCCGCTGCTGTCACGGAGCGGAAGTTAACTGCGATGATGTCGAAGATACTGGATATTGACTTTGGATCTGTTGAAGATGGGAGAATCCCGGATGTGAATGTTGATGAGTTGATGGAGAAGGCTAAGGGACAGTTGGAAGCAGGGGACATGACCGGTATGCTCAATTATTACTATGTGATGATGTATGAGGAGGGCTATGGCGGAAAGGATTTCAAGAAGCTTTCTTGGAATGAGCGTTTGGGAATACGGGTTATGAATGACGATGAGCTAGAGAGGGCTGTGCGTGGGTTTCTCAGTTTTATTAGTGCTTAATATCCTTTGTCAACTTTCGTAAGCAGTTAGACTTTTTGCTTTTTTTTTTTAAGCTACGCGGTTATATATCAACAATACCCTAATGTTGAAATCCACTTCATGCGTATGCAACGCTCATCCAATTGACCATATAAAAATTTTTTTAATCAAATGATGCAAGCCCCCTTTGCTCATGGAATATATACCAAAGGTGCTAATCCATCCTTGGACCGATGCTTGCCCTGAGCAACGCGTCTGTTGTGTACAACGTATACAATGATCTGCACCAGAGCACTTGCAATTCCTACCGATACCATGATAATCATGGTCCGTAAACCCATCGAATAGCTTGATAATGCTAAAGTCAGACAAAAGCAAATTCGCAACGAGGAGGGATAGGCATGGCTTACAGTGGTTTGTCTTGTACTTGAAAGTATTGCGCTCCGGCCATTAAACCCGCAATTGCAGACATAACCCACATACTAGTAAAGATTCTCCATTAGCGACCAAAACATCACAATGTAAGGGTGAAAGAACTTACGCGATACTGATACTCCTCTCTCTCGGATCTCGACAATTCATCTGAACCCAAGAGACATGTATCGGATGATACCCAACCGCGAAACTATTTACAGCAGTCCAAAGTCCCCACCGTGACCATTTGCCGACATGAGGCTGGACCTCAAGAGCCACTATGAGGGTGACAAGGTAGAGGACTTGAGCAGTGATCACAGAGACACCTCGGAACTTGATTCGATCGGCCATGGAAGCGAAACAGAACACGACGGCGAGGGCTAGGGAGGCACCGACTGCGGCTAGAGCGTTGGCTGGAATTCTGTCGAAGCCGAGGGACCTGTAGGTTAGTGGTTAGTTATGACTCCATGGTATCGTTGCCCCGGACCCATAATCTGTTACCAATGGCAATGCACAAAACTTACATGATGATGGACGGCGTGTAAGTTGTTAAGGGACTCCATGTCGAAAAGACGACGAATGTAGAAACAAAGTGCGGCCAGCGACGGTAGTGCGACACAGTACGCCAGATAATTCTTAAAGGAATTTGCAGGCCATGAGCGCCTCCGCGATTCTCGCCGTCATAGTATTCAAGTCGTTGCTGAAGAGTGTCCTTCTCAGAATCAGAAAACTTGATGAGTCCCGGATTAAGTAGAGGCTTGGGAAGGTCGGGAGATCCAGGTAGGAGTAATAGGAGGACGAACGACACGGAGATCGTGAAGAGGCCTTCGACTATTTGAATCATGTATTAGAATAGAACCTTGCGTTTATATTAAATTGAGCGAGCAAAAGTACTTAGAAAGAGCCACTGCCACCCTTTAATACCACGCTGACCGTCGAGTTTCAGTATGCCAGAGGCCAGCAGAGGACTCACAGCGTTGCCGCCAAACATTCCGAAGAAGAAAACGGCAAGCCTTTTGGGCAATTCTCGTTTTGTATACCACGTCGACAAAGTATAAACTGCTCCAGGAATATAGCCTGCCTCGGCCAACCCTAGAAGCAGGCGTGTGGCAAGAAATGCCCCTCGATCTCGGATGAATACTTGCATAGTAGCGAGTAGGCCGAAGATGAAGACCTGGGCTGAGATCCACTTACGAGGACCAACCTGCGAAAGTTTTCCATTAGAATCAAGAAAGCCTCTTTAGTAAGGGAACAAGCTATTACGCACTCGTTGCAGGGCCATATTGCATGGTATTTCGAAGACCACAATACCCATGAACATTAGCTGATTTCCCAAATTAATCGTGGCCTGGGAGACATTGATATCAGTTGCGAAGCCACCGGTCAACGCGCTCGCAATGTTCATGCGATCCAGCTGGAAAGCAAAGAGACCGAGGAAAAGCAGAGGCAGCACAGAAAAGTCAACTCTTGGGGAGAAGGGTATGTCAGCGTAGAAACCTTTCTATCATGTGAGTAATCCTACTTTCTGCGAGCCTTCCTTTCAAGGCGTGGATCCCATTCAGGCGCCACGGGCAGCGTAAAGTCCTCAGGGGAACTGCCATTGAAGTGTTGCTTTTGATCTTTTATTTCAATATCCATACTGGCTGGAAGAGAGTACTTGTTGGTATGTCGGCGACTCTAGAGGCAAAGATAGATGAATCTAGCACGTATAGACTACAGCAACCGTTTCTGGCTCCCGGATGTCCTATTATTATCACTCCTAACAATTAATTATTTTTTGCATTAACTAGGAAATGTGAGTTCGATACCTGTTTTTGTTAAGATTAAGCGAATTTTCAAGTATAAAGCGGGCTGTACAGTACGAAGATCTGCTTGGCTTTGTCTGTGACCACTGAAAGCCCTATGTATTGCGGGATGGCATCAGATTGCGTGATGAAGGCACAACCCGGGATCTGGTATAAACACCACAGCGCCGGGATTTGCTAAGACAGTTCATTTACATGTATGGAGTATTACTTCTACAAATGTATATCATGATAATACATTCGAGTTTATTGCGCTTTTCCAATAGCGATCGGATCAATTATGGTTGGCGTGCGCGTTAAACGGGTAGCCGTCATCGGCGCCGGCCCGGCAGGGGCCATTGCGGTGGACGCGCTGGCACAAGAAAAGGCTTTCGGCCTTATCCGTGTGTTTGAGCGTCGCGAAGCTCCAGGAGGCTGCTGGTGTGTTTTGTGTTCCCCTTTAGAATTGGCTCGAGATGGCTGACAATGCCTAAAAATGGCGGTATCAGGATTGGAGATTCGGTCCAGCCTCCAACACTCTCTAATTTCGCATCTTTGGCCACAAGAACTGCTGATTCCCCATTACTTATACCTGAGAAACTGCCCGCGCAGACGCCGAAGTCCGACCAGCCTCGATTTTCTGAGTCGTCCGTTTACCCGTACCTGGAAACAAATATCGACTGCTTGCCCATGCAGTTCAGCCAAGAACCTATTCCGGAGGAGCGGAGTGAGCTCTCTATATCGCGCCACGGACCTGAGACCCCTTTCCGCAGGTGGGACGTGGTTCAGAGGTATATAAAGGGGCTTGTAGAGCGCAGGGGCTACAGTGACTGGATTTCATACAATACTACAGTAGAGCGGGTTGAGAAGGTGGGAGCAGAGTGGAAAGTAATACTCCGAGAGGATGGAAAGCAGAGTGACTACTGGTGGGTGGAGTGGTTTGATGCCGTTGTCGTGGCGAATGGGCACTACTGGGTACCATACATACCCTCAATAGAAGGCCTAGAAGAATTCGAGAAGGCGAGACCGGGAAGCGTGCTTCACAGTAAGCATTTCCGTGGACAAGCGGCGTTTGCGGGCAAAGTAAGTTATGCTTCTAATTGCGCATATGATCACTAAATTAATGCGACCTTGCTATTTAGCGAGTTGTCGTTGTGGGGGCATCGGTTTCAGCGGCCGACATCGCATTCGATCTTGCGGAAGTAGCAAAGGCTCCAGTCCATGCAATTACAATCGGACATGGTGCTAATGGGTACTTTGGCGACGAAGCGTTTAACAACCCAAAGATACAGAATCATCCATCAATAGAACGGGTTTCGAACAGGACCGTGCACCTGGTAGACGGCAATAGCATCACGGACGTTGACCATATCATCTTCGGCACAGGCTACAGCTGGACACTGCCATTTCTACCACAAGTTTCAGTTCGCAACAGCCGGGTCCCCGAACTGTACCAGCATGTTGTTTGGCAAAAAGATCCGACACTCTTGTTTATCGGCGCCGTCGCGGCTGGTCTGACATTCAAGGTATTCGAATGGCAATCGGTTCTTGCCGCACGACTGCTTGCCGGCCGGGCCACTCTGCCACCCCTGGACGAGATGAGGAGATGGGAAGCAGAGCGCGTGAAGGCTCGGGGTGATGGCGTGAAATTCACACTGCTTTTCCCGGATTTTGAAGACTACTTTGAGACAGTGAGACGACTAGCCGGCGAGGGAGAAGAGGGTAAAGGTCGCAAGCTGCCTAAATTTCGCCGCGAGTGGGTGAGGGCATTCCTCGACGGACATGATCGCCGCAAGAATATGTGGAAGAAGTTAAATGAGGATTCTCGGGCTGCTTTGAGGAATACTGAGGCTATCCAGAAGCGATCTAAGCTTTGAGCGCAGTCAGCTTGGATCTCAACTTATGGTGCGTAACTCATATCTGGAAAGCACCATGCCTTCGAATGAGTCGAAGGCTATGACTACAGTTCGACGACTTCAGTGTCTTCAAACCCTGTACATGATTATCGAGCCGTTGTTAATAAAAGAAAGCATAATGTTGCAGTGACATATCAATATACGTAGATCTAGAACCAAAAGGCCCTTGTACAGATACTTGGGTCCCAATATCCTGAACCATGGGTGGTTTGTTGTACGAGGCCTAGGGCGTGGAATATCACGTGCGTTGGGGATAACATATTTCCTCTCTTTTATCGAGTACATAGAGATATACACTACCAGAAATGCTCAGATGGGACTCTCGCTTGTCCACTCCCATCTCAAACCTTACCAGGTAAGATTCCTGCATACTTAGCATCAAGATGCTCTTCTAGCATCCGCCGATGACCATCAGTCACAGGCTTTGGCCCGATCTTCTCAGCGCATCTCGCAATCAACTCATCCAGACTTGGCTGCTCTCCGTGCTTATCCTTATAGCGCCCCTTAGCAGCAATGGCCTCCTGCCACAAACTATCCAATTCCTCCGCCCACCCCAGCTCCTCGTTTAACGCCCTAATCACTTCATCACACTGTCCTAAAGCAACAACATCCCCATCCCTGTTTCCAATATCCCCGGCAGACTCCAAATTAACCAAAACTCTTGGAACACCCTCCCTCACACTCCTTGGTAGTCTTGAACAAGGCGCAACCTTCAACGAAGTCCCAAGCACAAGCATGATATCCGCCTCCGGCAACTTCGTTTTCTCTTTCTCCTCAAATTTCTTAGGCAAATCTTGCCCAAAAAAAACCACATCTGGCTTAACCACACCCCTACACCCCTCATCAAGACAGTACGGGACCTCGCCCGTCTCAATCGCGTTCTCCATCAACTCGTCCGGATATACCTTCTTACACCGATAGCACCGCTGCGACTTCCAATTCCCGTGCGCAGCGAGAATATGACTTGCTGGAACACCAGCATCTTCTTCTAATCCATCGATATTTTGCGTAAATATGAAGTGAAGTAGGTTCTTCTTCGCGAGAAGGGCTAGGAACGCATGTGTGAGTGTGGGCCGCAGGTTGCGGGGTTTGCGGGCGCGGGCAATTGCGTAGAATGGCTCGGGGGTGTGCTTGAAGAAGTTTATGTCGAAAATTGCCTCGGGGTAGGGGAGTTTGAGGGGTGCAAGTTTGGCGTAGAGGCCTGTTTGTACGGAGCGGAAGTCAGGCACGTTGGCTGCCGTTGAGATGCCGGCGCCGACGAGCGCGACGATCTTGGGGGGTGGGGTGGCTCTGAGGAGAGTGGCGATGGTGGAGACATTGCTTGGGGGCGAGGGGTTGGAAGACATCTTGAATGAGTTGGGAAGTAGTCAGCTTCGAATATCTGGGATGTAGTCGTATGCGATGTTGACCACCGTATATGGCTAATATGAAGCTGGAACGTTGTCCATTTTTATCCACCAATCAGGTCTCCTAGCTTGCGCACAAACCGCTCTAATTATGACTATACATAAGGCAGGCATATAATGCTGATATCCCCTTTGGGCGCATTCGTTTAGTAGGACCAGCGCATGGTCTTATACAAGGATGTTGCATCGCCTCATGCATTGAAACTACACTAAGTAATGGACTCTCGAGAACAGATTTGTGAGGGATATGATACTCTTCCATGTTGCTAATCTAACTTGTGTGAATCGAATACTCAAGATTTGATATAACTTCTTACGGTGGCTGATAAATTAAGGTCCCAAAGACCTTGAACAGTCAATATTATAATCCAAAGGCAAACTTTAAAACCCATTGCAAGTCCATGTTGAGTCACGCGTTCAATTACTGTGAGCACATACCTAGCGCACATTCCTTGATCGTCCTTCGAAGTCCTCCACGTCATCTAGCAAAGGTGAAATAATATGCCGGAAAACTGTGTCTTGAAATTCCTCATTATTCATATTAGTCTCACGAGTATGAGACCAGGACAAGCACTGCTGGACCACACAACCATATCTCGTGCCACTCTCCAAGAAAACATGGTCGAGGCAGCGATTGGCAACCTTCAGAAGTACTACTTCTTCGTCAGGATTCTCATCTTCAGGAACCCGCAGAGTAGTAATCGTACGACATAGTGATAGCTCAATGAGAGCCAATCCCAGAGGGAAGAGGGCTTCGTTCCGAATGACTGAGGAGAGTGTACTGCTGGCCATCGCTTCCGGAGGTCTTGAGACATTCCACAACAAAAACGGTTGACGAAGCGATTCCTTAGGCTCCATTGTCCCTCTGGAAAACATAATATCGCGGCTGCTCCAGTTTGCACTGAGCCAGCTTCCATGAAACTGGAGTACACTGCATGCAAGTTTGACTGCGAGGTGGAGACGGTCTCGTCTGTTCAATACAAGCCCACCTTCCCTGGGGGCAATCCAGGGAAACAATGGCGATGATGAGATGACTTCCTCCAGAGTTTGCGACTGTAGACTTCCAAAATTTTTCCTCGCACTGTACATGTAATGACGGTACTTTTTATCTTGAAGGAACGCGACAAGCTCTCGCCGCCCTTCTGTCATCTCCATTGCAGAAAGTGTAGAGCACAAATTGGGAGCTTGAGTAGGTAAAACAGCGTGACTTGGCTCAGTGCACAGTCGACGCTCGAAAGAAGGAGCGGCGAGTTCAATTTACTGTTTTTGAGCCACGGCTGGCGCGGGTACCGGTTTTGCCAAATTCGAAGACTCGATTTCTATCTCTTGCTGGATGTATAATGTCTCCACTGGATCGTTAACGACCGCGTTTTCTATAGCAAGCCTGCACGATTCGTCGTTTGGGCCACTTTTTGAATCCAGTATAAATCGAATACGGTGTTTGTCTTGGCATGAGCATCCCCAGCATTTACCGCAAGCTAGCGCTCTGTGAACACTATTCGCCACTATTCTTGCCTTTTTGTGCCCCAGGGCAGATTTCAGGGAGCCTTGGATGGGCTGACGAGGGTCGATTGACTGGTCGGCCAGTGTTTTCAAAATGCTGTTCGCTGTGTTCAATTTGTTGAATAAGTCATTCTAGATGCTCTTGGAGAATAAATGTTTAACTTTTCGAGTCTCTCGCAATACCACGTGAAGCTCTTCCCAAGGTATCTGAGCAATTAATGGTTGGCTGCGTAACGATCAAGGAACAGAATGAAAACCTACAACAGCAGGATCTGTGGCTTCCATTTCCAACTTGCTAGAAAGCTCTTCCAATATCTTCGCCGCCTCACTCATCATGGCAGCAAAGGCATTGTAACTATGCCCGAGTCTACTGCGTAGAGCATCATCCAATTTAGGATCATTCGAAGGTCTGCCCTCAGGACCGCGCATAAGATCACAAAGCTTCTCTGCGGGGACAACATCACCCAATGCAAGCCCTATAGTGTTGATTAGGATTGCTTGTTGACCACCAAGCATTGCCGCGCAGCTCTCTAGATGCTCTCGGTATCTCCTAGTTCGAAACGACTTCATTGTCTGCAGACCCTGGACATAATTGTCTATCTGATTGAGCATCAAAGGAAGCAAAGCGAGGACCAGGCCAGCAGCTTCAATACCAGTAATCATCACCAATAGATTTCTCGTTTTGAATGAGACAGAATGTCAAGAAAGAAGGCTTCCCACCCAGTTGTTCTGTGGTTATTGCGGGGTTCTACAGCCGCACAGTAAGACCGCTTTCCCCAGCCTTGCCGCATGCCTTAGTCCTCTTCGGCTTCTTTGCCATTTAATATTTCCTTTTTCTCGTTGTCTCAGAGTACCTGAGAGGTATTAATTTGCGTCAATGAATTCCACAATATCATCAAAAGTTGCAACCTACCTGGATCTGTTCAAAAATCTCCAATCTTCTACATGTCTGGAATGGCACGAGACTGAAGTGCCGGTTTTTGCCTGGCAGGACGAGCTGGGGCGATTACAAGTTTGGGTGACTACTACTGATGCGCTTCAGGAAGATCAATATTCCCTGGAATACCGGCTGCGGGATGCGTCACACATCAAGAGACAGGTGATCCGACAATTGGACAGGCTCCAGCGAGTCCTTGAAGATTTACAACTGGTCTTGGAGGAGACATTGCCAGGCGAAGCTTCCGGCAGTGAGACTGAAGATGAGAAGCCTACAAATGAGGCCCGGTCTATGTACAGAAGCCTGGTAGACAGTATTGACAGCCTGTACCAAAGGTCTATACTGATTCGGAAGCCTGCACCGTGTGATAAATTTGTCGGTATGAAGAAAAAGGATGCCATGCCATCTGAATCTTACGACCAACAGCGGGCCCCCACAGAAGGACAGGACCTTCTCGACGATACCGACACGATTGGTGCCGAGCAAAACGCATCAAAATCTTCAGAGAAACATGATTACAGAGATCTTCCTGTTCATTATCAGGAATCGTCATCAAAGACTAGAAACTTGATACAGTGGGGGAAGAACTATATGTACTTCTGTGTGAGTATTATTCGTATTAGTTTGAATAGAGACACATTGCTCACAAGGATCCAAGTGCCAATGTCACGATGGTCCGAAAGTCCAGCGTCGATGTGTGATGTGTGACCATGTGGCTTGCTCCAGTTGCATTCCTGTTGGGCGGTGATGGATGAGATGCGTTGACCACCGAGTGTTGAAGCTGGGTTGCCCCTCCGTTCTTTTTATAGGTTTCCAGTCTGCTATATGTCTTATTTATTTGGGCATATGAGATGGAAAGAAATTAAATTGACAACCAAGCTGTTATACCTCGTCATCAGGTTTCGCCCACTGGCCAACTGGCCCACTGGGAAGTTGAACCGGTCCTCTACGTTAAAAATTGAAAGGCTTCACATATGTGACATGAAAGGCTACGGTGCGCAACTTACTAGCCATTTCAAAGGCTCGACCAATGTTGGAATATGTTGCGTTGAGAGATTTTGTGCATCCGATCATAACGCGAGGCGGAAACTTCGTTCCAGAAACAGAATACCAGACTGATGGGTTCCGCATAAATCTCGCGGGGGCGAAGTACCTACAGTGAAGTCAGGGTGTTACGCTGGTGAGATGTATACAGCTATTAATAGCTTGTGACATCCGTTGACCCGACTGGGTCACGATTTTAACATCATCAGCTGACGTCCCTTGAGAATGTATCTTGTAGGGCAAAAGCTGCCGCATTGGCAGTACCATTCACTGATACATGGCTTGAAAATTGTGAGAGACGCATCGAGCGAATTTATACGAATTATACTCGAAGGACTATATGTCAGCAATAGGCCTTCAAGAACATCCGTAAGAAAGACCGACAAACTAGTCCCTGTGCCAATTATCAAATTCCATTTTATGAGATATCTGAAGTAAGTGAACCGTATGCTGACTTTGTCTTCTTTTTCCCTCACTCACCTTGCCAAACTCGCGCTACCCCGAGATGTCACTGGACAAGGTACCATTCTTAAATAAGTCAGCTCGTAATAATAATCTACTGGAATCTCGCCATATACTGGCGCCATTATGAAACTGTGAGGCAGACAGCATACAAGACGACATCTAACTCTCAAGGAAAAGAAAAACAAAAGACAACCGTTACAGGTGTGTGGGTGACTATCCTCATTATGCAACTTTAACCCAATGACTTCTAACAAGTGCAAACCGGCTCAAATATGCTTGAAAATTTCCTGCTCATCTATCTACAACGTTGCGGTGCTACAAGGTACGGGAAATCCATGACGACATCACAGATCAGACAGAACGCAGAGGGGAAAGTAGCTAGTATATGGAACAGCATCCCAAGGATGCTGTTCCCCCAAGACTTCGATACGTTATGCGCCCTAAAGGCGATCTGGGACTCTCAGACCTAGCAGTATACTGTTGAATAGAGCGATCTGTGTATAAAAGGGACAGCCGCCTGACAAAGATAGTACATGTCAAAGGGGCAGGATTTGAGAGTCGCATTGTCTGAACACGGTGACGATTCTTGGAATGCAATTTGTACCAGGGCAAAGCATTTTGAAACATTGTAAAGCTTGGACCACAGCCTTGGTAGACAAGCGAACGCCTCCCCCTTTTGCCTCCGTATCGAGAGATGACCGAGCCACCGTGAGTTCGTTGAACTTATAAACGACGGGTCATCGACTAGCTTATTATAGTGCTACGAGGTACCTGGTATCGGAAGCGACACCAGGGACTTGAAGAAGAAGAATACGGAAGCAAAAATTCTTGGATAGTGGGTGAGCAACCTAGGGACCTCCCCTTATGAAGTACCTGGTATCGGATAATTCCAGTACACACCGATCACCATATCGTCCACTCTCCAACCTAGTGTGGCAGGTATTACGCTTGAGGTAAGTCGGTTTGGACAATGGATTACGGACCAACACATGAGGCAATATAGTACTACGAGGTACCCGGGTACCTGGGATCGCGGGAGGCATCAATGACCTAAAAGCCAAAATCCCGGAAGACAAAGCTACTGGGGTGTGGATGGGCATCTTAGACGAGCGATTCAATCCTCCTCAGGTGTCGATTTGTTGCGCACTTCGAGGAGCAGAACGAGCTGGGACTTTCGGACCTCGCCGTATACCACCGAATGCGGATCGAGGCCAGGCACAACAGGAAGAATCGGGTAATCCTGATCGTGCTATGCAAAGGGGAAGAATATGACAACCAGGATGGCGTTTGAAACACAGAGCCCGAGCAGATGGGGGGTTACATTTTCGCAGAGGTCAAGTCTACCGGTGGAAGAAGGCACTGGAACAAAATCCTGTCTACAGGCCATTGCGGTTGGATGCTGCGCCAGGTTTCCCCTCTGCACCAGGAGGGACTGTCTAAGGCATACTGAACCAAATATACGATCAAGTGTACGAAGATGATCACGACGGCGATTATGAAAAGAAACCTGATGATTCGGATGATGAAAATTACGAGTATTAGCGGTACTTTCTATTTCTTTTCTTCTCTGTTTCTTGTTCTTGTTCTTTCTTTCTTTCTTTCCCTCTCATTTTAGGGTTTTGTAATCATATCTCCAAAAGTATGCTGGTCATTATGACACCTCGTAATTTGCTATAAATAAGCTGCATAGAAAAACATCTCCAGATCAAAACGACTGCCAGAATGGAATGGTCGCCTCTATGCCTTCTGTGCGGCCATGTCCAACAAGAGCTCCGCCAAAACCAGCTTGCGGGTACGAGCAAGATATTCTCGGAACGAGGTGATTAGAAAAATGTACTTCAAGACATCATGGATAAGGAACTGTGTCTTCCACGCAAGTGGGTATATATCTACAGATGAATTATGGATTGAACTGACGAGAAATCATCAGTATCCGAATGTCCGAAATAAAAATGCGGATTTTAGCTCTCCGGGGTCATCATTCACAGTGGCTAGGGTTATGAAAGTCCCCTTGGGGTCCTAAAGGACCCTGATGGGTTAATATTGAGGCCGAAAATTAGGTTCATAAGAGTGTGCGCTGGTATGCCCAGGATTAACGCCAACCGGCTGAGCCATAAAGCCTATTCTATGCACGAACGGTGCTTGGTGCTGATGACATGGGTTCTGGACGTGGACCTTATTGAGGAGCATCTTGACCTCTTTGCCAGGGCTCTATGCCATCAAGAGAAGCGGAATAAGTTCGAGCCCAACAACTTGCTTGCTGATGATTACCCGGAACATTGGGTTCAATTAGACAGGTTTTATCACAGATCAAAAGAGTATTTCAAAACCCATGAGAACGGACAACATCCTTCCGAGGGGTGCTGTCTTCCTCGAGATCCTCTCAACATCCGGAACTTCGTGACTTGCTTCGTCACCCGAAAAGGATTCGACGAGAAACACGAAAGAGCAAGACTCAGACATTCCCCTATGCCCCATCCAGATCGAGCACTAGCAACATCTAACCATCCCAGCGGACATTATTCTCATAGTCATATACCTTCTCCCGGGTCGACGAGACTTCAATTTTCTGCTGTTGACATTTCCCCGACGAAGATCCCAGATCACACGGATTTCACAGGTATTCCGGCGCCGACAGTATATCAATGACTATTTTTCATCCGAGGAAACGCTTCCGACAGTGAAGGAGATGGGCGGAGATTTTATTTCATTGTCGATCAGATGCTTTCCAACTACATTGACTGGCTGAACCGGCTGCGAGTTATGGAGAATATGGAGCAGACCAAAGAACTTTTCCTGAAGATTCTGGCCAGATCCAAGTGATTCTCTTGGCAATGAACCTTCTCATGTTCACCTACAACCGATATCGCTTCATGAGAAGAGCCAATGCCGCTTCATTGCTTGGCGATGGCTAGATTGGCTCAGTACGCGTTTTCTTTCTCAGCTGTTACTCCGAAGTACAGCACATGCACTCTCCTGTACCTGTACACCTACGTCATAACCGCGGGATTAAGTTTCTATTAAAATCCCGCACTAACCCAGATCGGAAGTGACCTACTGTGGCTGGTAACACGATGTGGCTATACCCCCCTCAGATCTGTGGCTCAGCAATACCCCACCCGTGACGCCCCTCCATCGATTCCATCATAAATAGATACTCCTGAGTCTCACCCTCTTCCTCTTTCATCTTCTCATCTCATTTCATCTTGTCCTCTCTTTTCTTTTCATCCATCTCAATTCCATTTTATTTCACATATACTCCCATATAACAACATGAGCGGATACGGTTACAACGGCGGCGGCGGCGCCTCCGACGACTACTACGGCGGTGGTGGTGGTCGTCCCTCGCACGGCGGCGGTAGCTCTTATGGCGGCGGTAGCTCCTATGGCGGCGGAAGCTCTGGTGGCTACGACGGTCCTCCTCAGTCGAGCGGATACGGGGGTGGTGGCTCGTACGGAGGCCCCTCGTATGGTGGTAGCTCCGGTGGTCACGGTGGTCACGGTGGTCCCCCTCATGGCAGCTCTGGCGGCTACGGCGGTCCTCCTCAGTCCGGCGGCTATGGCGGTGGTGACTCCTACGGTGGCGGTAGCTCTGGTGGCTATGGCGGCCCCCCTCAGTCCAGCGGCTACGGCGGTGGTGACTCCTACGGCGGCCCTTCCTACGGGGGTAGCTCCGGTAGCCACGGAGGTCCTTCTCACGGCAGCTCCGGCGGTTATGGAGGCTCGTCTCAGGGCCACGGCCGCCACGACTCCGACTCGGACGACGACTTTAACCCTGCCCTCTCGCACGCTCAATCCTCCGGCGGCTCGGGCGACAGCAGCCTGTTCAGCAGCGCCCTGTCTTTCATCAAAGACCAAAAGAAGAAGAAGGACTACAAGAATGACGAGATCAACGATAACGAAATGGTTTCCGCGCACCAGTCGCTCTACGGCAGCGGTGGCTCTGATGACCGCAAGCACGACTCGAACTCCGTTGGTATGGGCGCTGCCATGCAGGCGTTGAAGATGTTTACTTCGAGTGACTCGGGTTCGGGATCAGGATCGAGCTCGGGTGGTATGGATAAAAATAAGTTGATTGGTATTGCCATGTCGCAGGCTGGTGATTTGTGGGAGAAGAAGAACTCTGGTGGTCAGGCTGTATGTTCCCCCCATAACTTCCGAGGTTGGTTGAAATGATACTAATAAACGTGCAGAGCGGCGACAAGCAATCTGCCGTCAACTCGGCTGCTGAGATGGCTCTTAAGATGTACATGAAGAGCAACGGCAGCGGCTCGCAGGGCACCGGTGGCCCTAGCAGTTCTGGTGGTGCTAGTGGCTTGTTGAGCTTGGCGAGCAAGTTCATGTGATGGCGTTGACGAAGTTATGATCCCATTTTCATTGTGTACAGCTTGACTTGAATGTTCCTTTTAAAGTACATAGCTATATCTATGTTTGATACATGTTGGATGAATTGAATGATGAAGATGAAACGCAATGGTATCATACGCTATGCAGGTATAAAAGATAAGCAAAACACCACCCTGACTGTACAGTAAGTAGCCGAAAAAATACAAAAAGAATCTCAAACACAGAAACAGAACAATGTCCCAACCCAATGCAATAGCAATGCACCGGACAAAACAAACAACAATACACAAAAGGCGAGAGAAACCAAGGAATAGTAGAGAAAAGCCTAAACTAACAACATCTCATACTCCTCCCAACTCAAACTCCCCAAGAACCTCATCCTCCTCTCCCTCGCACCCCCCACAACACATCGTCCATCATCACCCAACTCCTCTTCCCCAGCCTCAACCCCCTTCCCCCAGGCTCTCCTCTCAAACCCCATAAACCCACCATACACATCATCAGAATTAGCAACCCAAATTTCCCCGCCGTCGGGGCTGAAATCCGCGCCGGCAATTTCGCCGAAGAAATCATGTACCTGGCGGGATGTGTACGTTTGCGCGTCCACGATGGCGATTCTGTCAGCGGGTTCGGTCATGAGTAGTGTACGGGGCCCGCCGCCGACAGGGGAATAGCGCAAGCTGCGGTAGCCGGAGATGTCAGAGGAGAGCATGGTGAGGGGTTTCCACATGCGCGCGTCCCAGATAATGGTTGTTTTGTCTTGGTTTCCTGTCGCAACGTGGAGCATGTCGGGTGACCAGGCGCATGCAAAGCCGTAGTCGCGATGGCCGCGGAGGGGCTGGACCGGGCGACCAGTGTCTGCTTCGATGATGAGAGCGTCTGGGGAGTCGCCTACAACCACGCGGAGGCGACCATCAGGTGAGGTGGAGGTGCAGTTTACGGCGCAGGAAAGGTCGTAGTCGGAGGTGAAGGTGTCGGTTTCGATGTCGAGGGTACGGAGGTGGTTGTCGTTGGAGGCGAAGATGCCTATTGGGTTGCGGGAGGTGCGGTGCGGGATTATGTCGATATGGTTGGTTATGCCATTGGGGTCGCGGGTGACGAAACCATGGGTGCTGGGCGTGGACGCTGGGGTTGTTGTGCCGGGGATGAGGGTTGTGGGTGTGGTGTCGCCTTCGGCGCGGATGGCGTACTCACCGGCAAAGCCGCCTACGATTGAGACGCCGTGGGCGGTTTTCATTGTGGAGATCTTGACGGGGCTATGGAAGACGCTGTTTTCCCATGTTGTCGGGCGTGATAGGTCCATCAGACAGGTTAAGTCGTCGTACGCCGGAATCCAGGAATAAAGCCGCCACTCGCTAGCAAAATGCACCGTGTTATACGCTGGGACGGACATCAAATTGCGTAGCTGGAAATGCTCAATCGACGCCCGATACTTGCTGTACATGGCCTTTTCGCGAAAGTAGAACTCATTCGGCCGTATCCTCTTGGCCGTTTCATGTGGCGTGTGCGGCAAGTTCATGTACGGACGATACCACAGATCGCGCTGCGTGCGTGCATCTGCGCGCTTAGCCCTCAACGTCTCCCACCAGGGGATCCGCTGAAGGTCGAAAAAGTCCACCCTGTCATCACCGGCGGGACGGACGACTTTTTCTGGACGATTTGCGCTGAGGATGATTGAACTGCGCTGAGGTGCGATGAAAAGTTGGTCGCTTCCGATTTGTGCGTGTGACTGGCAAACCCATTGTTGGACGAACTGGTCGACAGTGAAATTTCGCTCGTACGCTTTGCACTTGTCAGTTTCTTTTCTTTTTGTCATAGAGAGTGGAAACATACTAGTCACCGGGAACTCATTATCAAACATCGCCATATTGTGCGCGCCAACATTGAGCATTCCCGTTCCACCACCACCGATAACAATCTCCTCCCCGCCCTGGCCGTCGTCCCCATCCTCATTCTCCTCGAGCCCATCCTCATCAGCCTCCCCCTCCCCCGAAAAGTCCATTCTATACCGCGAATCCATATCTCTCCCTCCCCCTCTCTGCGTCCCCCCCTCAAAATCACCCCCATCAAACATCTGTGCCACGCGCATCAGCCCAACCCCCTCATCGTCAAAACCACGCATCCCTGGCCCCGCAGGCCTTGGCCCAGAAAAATCACTCCCTGGGGTAGCATCATCATAACCATCATCATATCCATAACCGGCCCTGGCCCCCCGCAGATGACCAGCAGGATCAAACGGATCCGGTGCCATAAACCCAGCTCCCTCCACGCCCCTATCCTCCTCTCTAAGTATTCCCACCGGTGAAACAGATCTTACATCCCCAAACGGCGACTCAATCTCGACTTCGCTCCCGCGCCCGTCTTCAGCCGTCATGATCATCCAGCGATGGCGACCACTGCCGTGACGGCCCTGTCCGTAGCCATAGCCTATGGCGAAGGGGTTTTCGGAGTTGTGGCGGCGCGAGCGGAGGGGTACTTCGTCTGTTTCGGGTTCTGTTTCTGCGCTGTTATCTGTATTTGTATTCACCGGATTTCCGGGATCAGATGGCGGTAACGGGTCGCGATTGATCACGGCGGCGGCGTTGACGACCTCGGACACAGGTTGCGATTGCGAGTCCGAGGAGATAGCGTAGGGGTATTGCGAGACGGCGGTGAATGCGGAGAGAGAATGTAGGTTGGGATGGGGGCGGGGATGGGGCCGGGGATGGTCGAAAGCATCCTGCGGAGTCATGTCGTCGCCATGGGTGCTGTCGTAAATATTATTACTCGAGGTGTTGCGGTGGTGAGAGTGAAGATGGTGAGGACGGTGATGGTGATGATCACCTGCGGCGATGACTAGAAAGTCACATGACGGCGCAGCGGGGTGAATACGAGTATCCCTAGTAAAAGAAGGAAAATGATTCCGAGACGAGACAAAAGAAGAAAATGGTAAAGAAGAAGAGGAAACAGCTCCCCAATCTTCTTGTTGAGACATGCCAGAATAGCGCAGTGATCGGTCTCTTTCCCTCTATGCAGGAAAACAGGGAATATATGTACATATCTCGGGCTGTCACGTCAGCGATTCGCAGTTGACCACGTTTTGTGAACTTTGTTGGGCTCGAAGTGGGCTATGACTGACAGGTGTCGGAATTTTGAAGGGAATGCTGCATCTCAAGGCAAGTGAGGCTGAAGGCACCCCACTGCCCTCACTGCAGAATGGCCATTTGTTATGAACGAGGTCTGAGTGGATAGTAGTGCGGACAGTGTAGATGACAATGCATTGGTTCTATCCCACGTGAGATGTGATTGATCATAAGTGTACATTGGGCTCGGATCATAGGTCAAGAAATATACAAAACACGAAAACAGAAACCTCCCATTAAATGGCAGACATTACATTAAATCAATCAATCAGTCGTAACACATTCCATAATAACATCAATCGTAATTCCCATGTCCATAGGAATACCCGTGCTGGACCTTTCCAGCTTGAAGTTGGAGACGTCGATCTGCATCAGTTAGTACAAACCCCGTAAACACGCAAAAGAAAAAGAAGGAAACATACCTCTCTCAAAATCCCTCCACCTCTTCATCGTAATCTTCGTACTATCAAACTCTCCCTCAACATCATGTCCCTTCTTCTCCTCGCCCGCTGTCTTTCTCGTATCACCCCAACTGAAGTCATCAAACTTCCAGTACGCGTATGTCGGCAAAACAAAGTTCCATATGGGCAGGGAGAGAAGGTAGATAAACATCCACAGGACGTATACCAATCGGTGTGCGGTCACGATAATCAAAACACCGGGCAAACCTAAAATCAGTGCGAGCAGGACGAGTGGAATTACCTGCACAGGCTTGTTGATGATCGACGAGATGACGACGTAGAAGGTGAAGGCAATAGCGGCGGGAAGGACGAGTGTGCCGACCAACTCGATGAAGACGACGAACTGCATGCTGAAGCAGAACGTACCGCACAGGTCGCGCACGAGCATGAGTTCGAAGAGGTTGTGGACGGTACTGTTAATCCAGCGACGGCGCTGGGACAATAATACACGGAATTTTTCAGGGACGACGGTTTTGCAAACAGCCTGCGGGACGAAGACTTGTTTGCGTTTGGGAAACGTCTTCAGCATCAGGGTTGAAAGGTACCGATCTTCGCCTAGAAGGAGGAGGTTCTTTTTGTGTAGTGTATCGACTACGTTTTCAGAGTAGTGCTCGACGACGTCTGGGTTAGCGAGGATAGGAACCCAGTAGTTTTGTCCTCCTTTTGGTGCTTTGATGCGGTACATTGAGAAACAGCCAGGAAGACAGGTAACACCACCGAAGACAGACTCGAAGGATTTGGACTGGTGGTGGGAGATGAAGTACTCAAAGACTTGGATCATCGTGACCCAGCTTGCTGTTTTGTTTGCGATTTTCGTCTCGCCGCAGAGACCCATTACTTCGGGGTCTTTCACCATCGCAGAGATCATATGCGTCAGACTGTCCGGGAACACCTTGGTATCTGCATCCACCATGAGAACGACCTCGTAGAAATCAGGCGGTATACCAGTCACATTCCAGAGGCCGTTGAACATTTCAAACTCCAGCTCCGTCATGCGTTCATCAAACATGACTTTCTGCAGGCATGCCATCAGGATAATCTGACTATCCCGCTTGCCCCGATTTCCTGGCTTGGCAGCTTTGGACTCTGCCCGCGTGCCGGTCTTAACAATGATCATCATCGGGACGCGCTGCTGTTTGTCTGGTGGTACGACTGATGATTGACCATAGTCGTAAAAGCCCGCGTAAACCTTGGCCATGTTATGTCGCTTTGAACCCGTCGCGACAGCCACGTAGGAGAACGACTTTACTGAATCAAAAGGAACAATAGGATCCTTCATCATGCGGAGGACAATCTCCGGAGTTGAGTAATCTTCACCCTTACCCTTGATCATCCCATCGCAAATGACGACCATTGTCTTGTGGCTGTTGGGGTAATCAGTCATGGCGACTGAGTCAAGCGTAGTTCTGATTCCATCCTCTCCTTCAGAGTAACATGTCACTAAGCATAAAGCATGTGCTAAGGGGAACCCATATGGCTGCCATTCTGGCGGTGGTTGAGGGACTACTTCTGAATGGATGATTCCTCCTGGTCCTCCTGCGGTATCTGCTTCTGTGGCCTTGTCGGTTCCTGTACCGCCGATGCTGCCTTTGGGACTGTTATATAGATCCGCGGATGCAGCTGCGGGTGGCATAAGCCGTGAAGTGGAATTTTGACTGGCCATGGTGACATACGGAACTCGTTGCTTGCCGGCACTGCTGCCGGTGTAGGGACTTGAGAATCGCGAGGTGGTCGGTAGAAAGCTAGCCCTCTTGCTGGGCCGATCGGACAGGGGGTCTGCAAGACGCGGTCCCGGACGATAGATATCATTTGACCAATCTTCAATCTGTTGATTCCGTGTCTTAGAATCGGAGCCCATGCTTGTTCTTTGGGCGGCAAAACGAGGTGCCAGGAACCACTGGAAGAGAAGCGCAAATGCGAACTTCACGATGACGATTGAGAGAATGAAAACCAGAGAGACGTAGAGGACAACTTTGGACGCGATACATCCAACCGTATCCGTATCGATACTGCCGACTTTGATGATTTGGGAGAGACACTTCCCTATCTGCTTATCCTGGCCATTTTGCAGGTAGTACGTTAAGTCAACGCCGCGAACATCGGAATTGGTGCGAAGTTCTTCGAATTTAGATGGGTATTGGACTTGCGAACCGTTCATCCATCGGAGAAGATCGAGATCTAACACATTGCCGGAATAGACAGCCAAGTTCCGACTGGTATTCTTGGTGTCCTCCCACGTATAATACACATCCCCTTCACTCTTCATACTCCAGAATTGATTCCTAGCCGTGCCTGACGTATGGCAGGCCCAACCAGCATAATACGATTCTGTCTGGTTGAGCTCAGACGAACCGTCTTGGTTAAAGGCTGTACAGGGAAAATACCAAGCCACATCCCCATCACTATTGGACGGCACATCCGACCCTTCAGCCAAAGTTATAAGACCCTTGCAGGCACCATTGACTTCCTGGAAGAAGAAACTCCCATCTTGACCGCCATACTTGTGAGGCAGGTCGTATAGAAGATTCGTATTGTCAGGGATGCCAGCAGCAGCTGGATGCTCGAACTTGGTGAGATCATAGGCAGATCCCTGGAAGATCATGTAGTTGGTGTTGATCTGGTTGATTTTCAGACGGAGTGGCGGCGTCCCACAGACCGTAGCCGTGAATCCGAACGTGAGGAAACCAACAAATGCCGCAATCATGAGGATAATAGAAATCAGACCCATCTTTTCCCGCCAAGCACTCCGTTGCGCCTTTTGCGGCATTCCAAAACATTCTAGAACAAAATCTGGCGCCCAGAACGTGATAAGTGCACAGTAAGCCGTCCAAGGACTGGGCGGCCGGACCTGCTCCATAGCATCCTGTCGTTTCTTTTCCTCTATCTCAGCCTGCTTTGACACTTTGCGGGATGCCCGTCGTCTCTTGCGTTGTCGTCGTTCGATCGGTTTCCTAATCTTTGTCGGTTGATCCTCCGCACTGTGTACACTATCCGAGCCGTCATCGGGAAGAGGCTCGTTTCCCGTCGTCGATGGATTGACAGGCATATTCTGGGAGTGCTGTTGGTAGTAGTAAGTCGGATGGCTGGGGTCGATACGACTGCGCTCTGGTTTGACCAGGTTTCTTCTGTGGCGTGTGTCCGCACCAGGCATGTTTCTCTCTTCGTCGACATCTCGGGAAGGCTCTGATCTGTGAGAACTGCCATAGTGGTAACGACGATGTCTATGGGAGGGAGTAGATTGGTGGTAGGTGTCGCTGTCGCCTTCAGTCTCGCTATCCCGGCGCCGTCGTCTTCGCGAAGGGTCTCTATAGACTGCACGGTCGTCGCGCCGGGGAGAAATATTTCCCGGGCGTTGTGGTAAGGGCATTATGCTGGAATGTGTAGCATGAACGGCGATGCGAGGGTCGTAGACAGTTTGTTGTTATTCATGGATAGGCGTTCGTTCAATCGTGACCAGTCGTGCATCGCATTCGTAATGTTGGGACGATCCCTTCAACTCTGGATATTCAGTCAGCACCAGACACAGCCAACAGTGCGACAGCTCTGGCCCAAATAGAAAGACGAGCAGACCTGGCCAAAACAGATCGCACCACGGACCAATTATGCCTAATTGGGAATAGTGTGTTTGTCACCTGACATCATATCCGTCGCGAGGGGCAATAGACCCACTGCCCCATAATTAATGGACCTGGAACTTGGCTGGATCGGGTAAAGCGGGGAAGTACCGTCCGATCTTTATTCACTCTTACCATACAGTACGGATTGGTATCATACAGTTGCATTTGGGGTACTTCTCAACATCAAGGAGCAATATGTTCATGCCTAATATGTAGAAACCCCAAAGAATTCGGAGCAGAAAGGGGAGTTAATACGAGACGTCAGCAATGCTATTTCAGGCAGACAACTGGCAGTAATCTGCGCCATTCCTTTGTCGGTGAATAATGACAGGCATGTACAACGAAGAAAGCCGTCATCAGCACCATATACTAATCCCCAGGATACGATGACAATAGCCAATGCAGGCACATGGTTAAAGTTCAGAAGGGGGGCCCCGGAACACGATGTCAAGTTGATTAATTGGACCTGGACAACTGGATGGCCAGGTAGGCAAGCAAACAGCTGTTCTGCGGCTGATTCGCTTCGGTTTGCTCGGGATTGTCTGCTCTTTATTCACTGCTAGCAACGATACTTTTGTCAGGCTTCTATATTATCATACTGTCCGCATCTTTGACGCCTGGGGGTGCATTGTAGGTGTTGCACAATTGTCATCGAATACCCTCCATGTGACCAAGTTGATATCTTGCTTTTGTCTTGGAGCCATCGCATCGTGCTGATTTGTTCTCATTGCCATATTCTTATTTGAACAGAACCATGGAACACGTTGAGCGGCCTAGAAGCTGCTATGTCCCTCGCAAACCAATACCTTGGAATGCGCAACTCGAAGACGCCCCCCACAGAAATTCATTTGCATCCAGCAGCTGTTCATGGTCTGTCGTAAGCGACAGTCTGGACAGCGTCGCGCTGGGCGATAGCTTCTCATCCGGATCAGAACGAGTTCGACACTCGCCCAAAGACTATCGCGCGTTTTCATTTTCACGGCTCTCTACAGCTTCACCCGGTTTCCGACTCTCATGGCTCAAAGGATACTCACAGTCCAGTCCCGCAGTCAATCCAGGGAATGCGCATCTCCGGCCCTCAGACGGAGACAAGGCATCCCTGTTCCGTCAAAAGCAAACGTTTGAAATGTACCTTGCAAACGTAAAGAAGACGGAGAACGCCACCGTGCAGTACGAGTTTGCGCTCTTTCTCCTCGATTCTATTCAGAAACAGTCCACAGAGGCTACTGAGATGACACCGGATAATTTGCGAAAAGCAGCAAAGTCGATCCTGCGACGCCTATCCGACCGCAGTCATCCACATGCGCAGTATTATCTTGGTGACGGATACGCCTCCGGCCTGTTTAGCAAGAGGGCAGAGGACTACGACAGCGCATTTCCGCTCTTTGTTGCAGCTAGCAAACATGGCCATGTTGAGGCGTGTTATCGTGCAGCCCTCTGCTATGAGTTCGGGTGGGGTACACGAGTCGAAGCTACGCGCGCAGCACAATTTTACCGACAAGCAGCATCAAAAAACCATCCCGGCGCGATGTTACGGATGGCACAAGCTTGTCTGGCAGGGGACATGGGACTAGGACGGAAGCGATACCGCGAGGGAATCAAGTGGATGAAACGAGCCAGCGAATCGTCTGACATGCAGTACAATTCTGCACCCTATGAGCTAGGATTACTTCATGAGAGCGGATATGGCAATGATGTCTTCCCAGACGCCTCATATGCCGCACAGCTATTCACCAGATCCGCTGAATTGGGCCATGCAGAGGCTAGTTATCGACTTGGCGACGCGTATGAGCATGGGAAACTGCACTGTCCACGAGATCCGCAGTTAAGTATCCATTACTACACATGTGCTGCTGAGCAGGGACATCCGCTATCCATGATGGCTCTATGTGCTTGGTACTTGGTCGGAGCGGAGCCGATCTTGGAACAGGACGCGAATGAAGCATATGAATGGGCCAAGCAAGCGGCGGACTTAGGTACATTTTCCATGGAACCATGGATGGAACATGTCACTGACATCTGCAGAGCTACCAAAAGCACAATACGCCGTGGGATTCTTCACAGAAATGGGCTTAGGCTGTGAGCGGGACCCATTCGAAGCCAACGCTTGGTATGTGCGCGCGGCCGATCAGGGCGATATCCGAGCGAAACAGCGCGTATCCACGATCCGTGCGGCGGACGGGTTCGATGTAGACGAGGGGCCTTTGAAGGGGAAGAAACGAGCGGGTACGTGTGTCAAGCTGTCAGTGTCAGTCCAGAATCATACGCTGACTCTGCTAACCCGAACAGATGACCATCGGCCAAAATGGCTAGGAATTTTCTAACACCCACTTAGAATTGGCGTTGGATATTAGAATTACTTGCGTGATACCAGGCGGCTGTCTTTCCTATCGTTTATAACAAACATCTCATATGTATTGTATTGTATTTTAAGCGAGCCTCTTATGTTGATACTATCCCGATTCGGAAATCCAGGCACCAACCAATCACCTCCTGTCGATCAGTTTCCAAAAATACCCGTTATCAGAACTTCCTCCTATCTTCTTCAATCCTTCTCTTCCTCTTCTCTTTTTTCCCTTCTCTTCTTCAATAATTCCACGTTCCTTCTGCCTCGTGCCTCAATTCATTCCTTTCAGGTACGTTTTCAATCGAATAGAGACATTTCATTTCATCTTTGACATTGACGGCCGGTCCACTGCGTGTCCCTCCATACCATCCCTTGTTCTTTTCGTCCCTGCGCTGACTGACACATCTTTCCAACAACCAGATCTATCTTCGTCTGTCTTTTCCGAAGAATTATCCAGAACAAATCATCACGATGCAATTCCTCGCCGCCCTGACCGTCATTGCTACCGCCACCGTCGCGGTCGCCCTGCCCGGCTTCAACATGGGCCAGGCGTCTTGCCGAGCCGTACGTTATCCCACAATCTCGAATCCATACATATCTTTGGAGGATTTACCACTAATGGGTGTTATAGGGCGGCGACTACTGCACTAACCTCACCATCGCCGACGCCCACGGCAGCACCTGCTGTACTCCTCTCGTCTGTGATGAAAGCAGCGTAAGTGGCTCCGTAAATGGCATAAACGAGATAAATAAATGAACACGAAGCTGATGAGTGACCAACAGCACTGCCGCTCTTCTTACTAGACTATCTCGCCTGCGATCTGACGGATTGGACAAGTGGACAAGAGGGATGGAGTACAGTACATACATACGTGGGTTGCGCGCAGACTTGGCCATTATGAAAAGGAAATAAATAGTTATTTGCGGCCGGTCGGTTGGTCTGTGAATCAGTAAAATGCGTGTGCGGGTGTCTACTGGCGAATCTCATTCGTTGTATTTAGTTAATACTCTCAAGGAATATTAATGTCTGCGCATTGCCGTACTTGTTGGTATTTGCCACGCCCTTCGTTCTTATCTACATCGTCCAAGGACGCATTCAATAGTTGTTTATCATGATACAATGACGTCTTTTCCTTGCGGAAATGTTGATTTTGAAGCGCTAAAGACAGGAACCCGCTGATAGTCGGCCGAGCTTAAACTCCAGCAGTGGAGAACTTCATACAGCTACCATAAACCTCCATTGCATTGCCATCTTGCACCGCCCACGACTCCAAGCCGTATCGGCATGTCGGCAAGCCCTTGTCCCAGACTCGCTAAATACATCTGCAAAGGAACCCCCATCAATCAACAGTGGGAGGATACTTACAACCCAGTCACCCTAATGAGACCGAATATGCCGGTTAGCGAGTTGTTGCGCTTCGTTATTATTATTACTAGCAGCCTGGCCCTTGATCTCGACCTTCTGAGTACTCGAGCCCAAGATAATAGACCCTTCTTTCTGGCCTAGAACTTGTTGTGAGACCGTATTTTTATGTTGTCGAGGATCAATTTATTCACTGGTATAGCAGCATGAGAAAGGGAAGAGCGAGACAGCTTCTCATTCTGAGGTTTTGGGCTATCCACTGGCAGGCTTGGTTAACAGCCCTAGATGTCAACCATGCCCTACATCATCCACGCGCGTTCCGTGACAATGAGGCTCTTTAAGCATATTCATCTGTAGAATTCTTCGTTGCTTCGCTCTTTCTGTACTGCCATTATGCGCTATGAGGGTGGTATTGTAGTGTAATGGCATGAGCCATCCCCAATGCTGATGTGGATTAAATGTTCCGGGCTTATACTTCTAATGCAGCGTTTTCTGCAGCCTTTTGAGGCTCTGGGATCGCTCTTTACGTGCGTATGTTATGCGGGCGAGATTAACTGACATATCAGCTATTACAAACGTCAGTGCTGGTGATACTGATAGCCCCGTTACTGAAGATCTATCACATTCTACAGACTAGTGCTTATGCTGGCTGAACTCACTGTATAAGCACTCTTCTCTAGTAAAACTGCATCGCCAATATACAGCAGTGAATTCACTGAGTAATTCAAAGCAAATGACACATCTCTCTCATTCGTCTTCCATGGAGATTACTCCATATATCCAAACCTTATCCCGAATACGTTGGTCGGGTATCCGAAATCATGGCATCTGTGTTCTCTTTCCTCCCCGCCGAACTCCGCCACCAAATCTGACAAGATGCCCTCCCCGACAAAATCGGCCAACCCCTCTACTTCTACAAAAAAGGCTGCTGGTCCCCCCGCCTCCTAACGGAATCCGACCCAGACTACGACTTCGAGAACCCCCTCTTAAACCTGAACTTCGAATTCCGCCACAAGTTACTAGACGATGTTGAATTCGAAGTACCGCTCTTCCACGTTAACCGTGAAGTCCGCGGTTTCGCCTTAGCATGGGTTCACAAAAAGGGTCTTACAATACGTTTTGATAAGAAGAGAGTGTGTGCTGTGTTTGTTCGCGCGTTTGATCCTATGATTGATACGCCATATGTTCCACTTGGGAAATGGGATGAATTCCTCCGCGAGCCGTTCGATCGACATTTCGAGCTGGATCTTATAGAAAAGAATATAAATTGTCCCGGTCCGGCGTTTACGCGGGTTGCTGTGTCTGAGGCTGTGTTGAGGGGTGAGGATAACTCTCTAGCTGAGATTTCTGATTGGTATGCTCGTGTTCGGAAGGTATTTATTATTGTCGATGCGCAGCCGAATTTGGATATGCAGTCTGAAGATTACGGTGAAGATGACGACATGAGGTTGCAGCGAAGGTGGGATATTGAGAGTAGTGCACTGGGAGTGAAGCTCTTCTGGAATAATGACCATGGGGAGTTCAAGTGGGCGAATAGGGAGGATTTGGGCGACAAAGGTTTATGCAAGCTCATTGAAGAAGCTAGCAATGGGGTGGGTGAGAAGCTTGTAGGGTACGGGAGGCGCAGGTTTGAGGTGCGGCCTGTGTTTACTGTTAGGAAATGAATAAATATCGTCTGGTTTGACACTGCGTGGTTCGGACGCTATACGCCAGGGTCTACTCAATATAAATACAATTGGGTTAGTGGCCAATTGATGCCGCAAGTATAGCAGAGAACTCTCTTCATATTGACTAGTCATCTACCAGTAGTACTCGTCCGTGCTCTTTCCTTTCCAGTTCCATTCGTTGTATATATTAAGCTGATACTCCCGAGTAATATTAATCCTTAGTCTATAATGAGTTTGGCCGATTCGATGGCACCAACAATGATGACCCATTATGTATTACAGTTGATCTCTAATCTTGCTTAATAAGGCTTTGTTCTGTGGATTCTTCCCAGAATCTGGGGATATGCCATTTTGACCAATAGTCCGTGATAACTCAATTACACTAGCGATACTAAGCTTGGCCTCAAAGCCGAATTATGCAGAAGGATATATTAATGTCTCAAGCCAGAGTCGATAATGCCTGGCACAATCTAAAAGTCACCAAAAAGCGATGATTTCGTTCCCTTTATACTCGATTTGTACCAGTTAATCAGCCATTTATACATTGCATAACCACGATCATCGAAGCTTCACGGTTGATTGTGATTCGTTGTCTCGAGTATTGTCTTCCCCGGAACTTTAAACTGCATTATAGTATTAATAGGCACCAGATGGATGATCAATAGCTCGTTTTATGTTTGCTGGTGTGGAAACGGATCTGCGCACATCGGTAACAAATTTTGGGTTTCGTAGCTTAACGAAACATTATAGGCTTCTGGATATGGCTCAGTCATCCTCAAGCAAATAAACATTACTTGGACAGAAGCCTTTATCGATCACGCGTCTCTCACGTCACATTCGGGAGACAGGCCGTAAAGAGATCACATCGAGGATGCTCTTTATCGAGATCAAGAGAAAAACACGGTCATACGCTCGTAGTTGATTGCTATTCCATCAGTACTGATTCAGTCTTTTTGTGCGGTAGTGGATTGGTGGTGAGCACATATAAGTACCTTATGCATAGTACAGTTGTTAAAGCCCTCTGGGGAGTGGACTGCCGTCACAACATATTCTCTCAATGACCTCGGTTCTTTTCACGGCACCTGGCGGGCCTGGTTGTCATTTACCCAACATATCTATGCAGCTTTGATAACCTTGTGACTGCGCCTGGGTCTCTTGCATCTTCATCGATGATCAAAAAGGTCTTGAAGTGTAGTGATATCCTGGGGGTTTTCGTGGCGTTTAACCAGCGTGAGATGTCGTTCCTGGAAATGCATCATCATGACATGGTGTTATAGAATATTTTTGACAACTATTCATTGTTCGCAACATAACGCTTGCTGTATAGTTATGGGCTCGTTATATTCTTTCTGAGTGTGCCCGCTGGCGTGCCCGCAATTGTAGTTACGGCAGTCTGAACGACTTGGGGTGCTGTTCAAGAGATTCTGGACCTCTTGCGATAAATTTCATCCTCATCGAAGCCTCCATGCTTATTGTTTTAGGTCTGGCCGCAGTCCCCTGATTCAAAAGTCATCGAATTTCAGGGATCGGCTTGGTTCGGAATACCAACACAGACACCTTTTGCACTCTATGAGTGCTAACATGCATGTAAAGTCTGTTCATGGCACGTCTTGGGAATCCTTGAGATTTGTGGGAAACAGAATCAATTTGCTGTCATGTTTCAACTTGGTTAATAAACCAGCCTAGGCCAGAAAGGCCTTTGTGAGCTCAAACCTCTCAGTGGACACAAAAATCTTCCGTCCAGGAAATTCGAATGAATTTTTGCTGGTGACCCGCATTAATGGAGAGTGACTGAGCGCGACTCACACTCATAGGACATCACGGCCGAAAAATAGGCAAATTCACTCGGATTCGCCGCCTTGTGTAGACTCCGAGACAGACATAATATCTTTAATTCTAGGACAAATGACCTCATTCCGTCAGCTCTGGGGTCGGTAAACAAGAGTTGAAGAGTCTCCTGGGGTGTTCACTAGTAAGCCAAGGCTATCAGGCCTTAGATGAAGACGCATCGTTCAGCGCGGCGATGGTGCGTGGTAAAGGCCTTCATTCTCCAGTTTCCACACTTTACAATAGTTCAAAAAGTCTCCCTGCATAATTGCCATACCTGGATCGAAACTGCCACGGTGCTCTGCAGTCTTTGGTATCCTTGACTGTCAGTGAATATGCAATGATCCGCTTTTTAGAACTTTGCTGCAAAATAAGCTGGACCCTGGAAACTCATACGGATTCTCAGATCAAGCTTTATGCAGCTGGCTTGCGCATCCTCTATTTTATTTATTTAGCTATAAGAGCTATTTACATTAGCCGTGGTTTCGCGGTTCCAGAGTGCCTACTCACCCTAATTTTTTTGACTAAACTGTATCTCTGACATCCAGAGCGTAATTATGAGCTGTGGAGTCAATACATTTGATACAGATAAAGGCATATATCCCCGAGTCTTTGTTCCTGTCTGGGAATTTGCCCGCAGAGCGAGTTTGATATCAACTCATTCTCGCTTGACTTATAATTGGATTTTCTTGCGCTGTCAACCCATTGCCATTGGGATGAAATATGGATCACTGCCATTCTTTTCCATCTAGTGCCGCGTTTTGGCTTGAATGTTTCAAGCTCGACGCTGATGTTCTGTCGAACGCACTCTTCGTGAGGTGTACAGTCTTGAAGAATTATCGGCATCAATCAGTAACCAGGTTTGAACATTAATCTAAGGGTAGCTAAACCACTAACCTACCAACCAATATACGTTGGACGTCAATTATACTTGATTCCGTGATGTTGGACTTGTTTCCGCGACCACACCACCCTATGTTTCCTTGCCTTTGGACTCACAAGGCCACCTTCAATGTTCCTTCGTCTATCAATATTCCTTTGAGGTTCTAAGTCTGTCCTTCTGTCTTGGCTTTTTTCTGGTGGCATTTGTATACAAGAATGCAACAGAAAGGCTGCATGTCAATATAGGAGTAAATTGTACGGGATTCGGCTGAGGATGACGACGGCGGCAGATACTCGGATGTGGTGGACTTGGGGCTAGGATAAGTGCGTTTTGAATTCGGAGACTGGAGACTGAATGTCATCAAAACTCGACTTCCAGATTGGGAGCTGTGCCTGCGCTTCATTCCGCCACTGTTGACCATGGAGATGTGAGCGGAAACTCATCAGACATAGACACAATACCCGGGCGATGGCTGTTGCTAGCTGCAGAAAAACTTTGGTCATCTTCTGGGTTCACTTTCAAGTTCGGTTCACAGAGATGGTATGTCAAAGAATTGTCCATTCTGCAAAGGTCAGCATTTGTTGTCCAATCCGTGGGATCATTCCCTTTCAAAGCATCATGGCTGCATGCTACCTACTATAACGTGATTTAGTCACTGAAGAAGTGCTTCCAGCATAATGGGCTTCAGAATGAACAGCATGCCCCATGCAGCAGAAACCGCTCTGGAACCCTAAGAAGCACCTTTCACTCGGTCGCTTTTGGACTCACTAGATGTATCGTCCTCAATTTTCAAGTCCTAGCCAGAGGAAAGTCGTTAAACATCATTATATCCACTATATATAAAAGCTCAAGATCGAAGCAGTATGACAACAAAAACAATGGGCTTAAATTCGCCGTCTGTGGACATATAGCAGAGGCTGTATCTCTGATGCTGTCAATACCTCTGTGGCAGTCTTTCTTTCTGCCTGACCTGTTTGTTTTGCTTTGGCAGGTTCCTTTACAACATGCTCAGTGAAACTGGTCTGGGTATCCGATGACCCAAAAAGGTTGTCTGGCACCCGTTATTCAGCGGACCCTTTGTCCCATGGAGGGTATTTAAGTGGCAAGAAACACACAAAGTCTTCAATGTCACGACACTTTCTTGTGCTCCATGGGCCGTACGTCTGCATCTTTGCGAGACCAGCATTGGCGACAGGGTCATCCTTAGATACCTGCCCACTTTTTTGTGTACTCGACAAACGACAGAGATATCTCATATGCGTCCCCGGAGTAAGGTAGCGGCAGTACTGGTAAGGTGCCATTGCCATGGATACTGGCATATCATCAATCTGGTACAGCAAGTACCGTGCGCGTAGCATTCCTTCCATGTAATGCGTATGTCGGTTCGATCAAAGATTAGGTGAACGGTATTCTCGATGCTTTGAGTACAAGAACCAGGTGTGAGAGTCTGGTGAAAGTAGCGTATTACCTGGAGCCAATGAGCAGCAGCTTTTCCGAGCGATGTTCAGATCACTCGCCCATGGTGATGTTTCGAGTACGACATTGCCAAATCCAGCGTGCATCTCTTATACAATGAGACCACCTTCGCAGATCAATGATGTAATCAAAAGCAGGCCCTCCGCGTCAACACATGCTTTTTGACTTGTTGGTAGACAGTTGCAAGCTCTTGCAAGCTCTTGCTGGTCATACGCCCATACCACGATCCGCTTTATATTTTAGAGTACTTGGACTGGGCAGTCGTACTTCCTCATTAGGTCCAGGCAGGTTCTGTCGAAGACACATCATTAGCCCTAGATGGGCGGTTCTCAGGCACGCTTTGCTGCTAGTTAAATCACAGTCAAAAACTTCTTTCCCAGCGCATTGCTAGATCAATTATGACACTAGAATACCCAAGCAGACAGCGAGGTGGTTCATCTGATTAATCGCCTCGTAGACATTGCTTAGTCCATGCCACCATTTGTGTACTTTGCACGATATAGGTTGTTTATAGCCCACTTGTTTCTGATAGATTGACGGAAAAGCGAGTCCCGTATTTGATTTCTTGATTCAGAAGTTTTACTTTTTTTTTTTTTTTTTTTTTTCTTTTTTACCATTTAGCGGAATTGGTACAGTGCTTGGCATGTAAATTGAATCTCATGATTCAGCACGTATCAACGCTATACACAAAATTCACGTTTCAGGCGAGTTTTTTTTGACTATAATTGTGGGTGTGCATACCTATTAGCAGGGATGCGGAACCCGGTTATACTTATACCGTATGACGCTTCTTTTCATGTCCTTGTATAGTTCCAGTAAGCTAATATAAAGGAACGTTGATATTGTTCGAGCCAGTATGAAAACGGCATGAAATGAGTATATATAGCATTTCTGCCGAGGTGTCACTTCCCTGTTCCGGTGTCCATCTCCACTTCGTAGAAGTTTTTGTCATAAATGCCAAAAATTGAGATTGCGAATCGCTGCTGGGCTGTGGCAGCTTCGTGTAAGAGCAGAAATCATCAGACACATCATAATTCCCATATGAGAGGAGCTAGTCTGCTAGGACGAGAGTATTGAAAGTCTTCTGGCGCAGCGCATTCCAGTAATCGTGCTGTGGATCTGGGTATATATAGTCCTTCCGTTAATCAAAGTTTTTTCCTCGAACAGCGAGGTAGCTGGTCTTGGTTGATTGAGGACCTCCTTGCATAGCGCCTTCCAAGCCGATCAGTATACCGATGGACAGAGAGCTAATTTGAGATCAAGAACTGATTGCTGCTAGATGTCAGCCAGGGCTGTATATACTAATTAGTATGTCGGAGTATGGCAGTTATACTCATTCTGGCGGAGGATGAACTATGCCAACGCTCAAGTCCTCTCCTCTCATCATCGTACAAGTCCAAATGGTTCATAGGGACGGGTGATGTTCGAATTTCGGGCAGTTTCCTGCATAAAGCAAGCAATATCGACAGCGCATGTCTGGTATTGTCGACTCTATGCTCAATCAGCCGGACACTTTGCTCGGTTTTTGAATGGTATTCCCTGTTACCAGCAGATCCGTTCATTTCTAGCCGGGTTCTCGCCCTCAACTACTCTGTATTGGTAGCGGCAAGACAAGATCTGGACACGCTAGCATGGAACCCGGATGTTACCGTTCCTTTGTCTCAAGGTCAGTGGGGTACTACCAGAAAAGATATTACAGTTCCCCTCAAGCTCTTCCATACATCTCCTGATATGTATATATCAGCGCAGACGCTTCCTCTAACCATCATTAACTCTCCACTCAGACATCTGACTTCGATTTTCCCCTCCGTAATATTCAACCGGGACCAATCCAATGGATCAAACCAAAAAACAAACAGAGCACAGCATATGATAAGCGCTTTGCTGGTTGTGCCTGTAATGTTCTTGGCTTTCATGTTGTTTATGGCACTTGTTGCCATGAATAAGTTGGGTATGGAAGCGCGTGGAAGACGATGCGATGCGATCATCCATAACGCAAGCTGTGGTGTGGAGCTATAGAGGGTATAAAGATTACCCTCGAGCTTCTCCATGTGTCTTTTGAAATATAAAAAATAGATATATAGCAGCTGTTCATAGTCCAAGATGCTTTGTGACGGTGGGGTGTCAGATGTCTGGAGCATCGCTTTAGGAGCATGATGAACCGGTTGCAGGTTTTTGACGCCGACGTCGGTATTAGAGGCGTTTTTTACGTCGTCTGGGATGGGTGGATGGCTGTTGATGGAGGAATATGATATATCATAGAAGATGCGTTTGAATAGAGCGAGTATATAGTAGGGTTGTATAAGATTATAGCGAAGGCAACAAGGATGAAGAAGAAAAAAGAAGAGGGGCAGAAGGAGAAAGAGAACATAAAGTCGTCTTTATCTAAGTGATTGAAGTGAATGTACGGGTTTACGGCAACATGCATTAGCAAACCATCATAGCTCCGTCGAATTATCATATATCGAAACTAGTACTAACAGCAAACAAAGAAAACCGCGAACTCGGCACCTACAAGGAAAGGAAAGGACACAAAAAAATATGTATGAAAAAAAGAGTTAACTGCCGTTGGTTCCACATATACACAAGGACGACAGGAAGAAGGAAGGTAGGAAGCCAAAATCAAATATAGATATCGAAAATAATGTTAAAAACTCCAAAGCCTCCTGTACACAAAAGCTATTGTTGATTCTGAATCAAAGCATGCTCGCTCTAGTTGAAGTTCTCGATGCAGCCCCAGTAGCGCTCGACATCGAACTCACCAGCATCCTTCCACAGGTCGTTGGCAAAGGAGAAGAAGACGGATTGGCTACCGACTTCCTCGACCAGCGACTTGATGGCGGTGGCCTGCTGCTCCTTACCGGGGACAGCAGCACCGTTGGCCTGACCACCGTTGGGCCAGCCGGTCTCGAGGATGATGACTTCCTTGCCGGTGCAAATGCCCTCAAGGATCTTGACCTCGGACTTGGCGAACTTACCGGCCTGGTCGGCGGTGGTCTGGGCGTTGAAGAAGGGGTGGATGTTGGCACCGACGACATCAATGGCCGAGCAGAGCGACGCACCCTCCTGCTCCCAGATGTTGATGGACTCGGAGGTGGTCACGTCACCGGTGAAACCGGCCGACTTGAAGGACTGCTTGGCGGTGGTGATGAAGCCGGCAAGAGCGCCAACCTCGACGTAGCCGCTCTGGATGGACTCGTTACCGACGACGATCAGGGTGACGAGGTCCCACTGAGCCCACTTGGTGATGGCGGTGACCTGTTCCTGGGCCTTCGAGAGACCACTGCCGTCGATGTAGACACCGATGATCATCTTGAGGCCGTGCTGTCTGGCAGCCTTGCCGACGTACTCGAGACCGTTGCAGTCAGTGGCGTAGAGACGGAGGTGGGAGAAACCCTTCTGGGCGATCTCACCAACGTTCTTGAGAACAGTCGCCTCGTCCTGGCAGTTACCGTCGTTGGCGTAGGGAGAGTAGGTCATACCCATCTGGCCGTTGACGGCGCTGGGGATGGGAGTGGAAGAGCTGGACGAGGACGAAGGGACGGCCGAGGTGGTAGAAGCGGCGGGGGTGCTGACAGCGGGAGTGGTGCTGACGACAGGGGTGCTCACAGCGGAGGAGACGCTGGTGGTGCTCTCCTCGGGGCAGACGTAGGTGTAGTCAGTGTTGGTGATGGTCATGGTGCGGTCAGGCTTGGTGTAGGTACCGGGGGTGTAGGTGGCCGGGGTAGGGAAGACCACGGCGGTGTTGGTGGGCACATACGTGGTGATGGGCGCAATGGTGTAGGTACCGGCAGAGGGGCAGACGTAGGTGGTGGTCTCAATCACGCTGGTGGTGGTCGAGCCGGTGGGCTTGACGGTGGCGTAGGGGCAGGTGACGGTGGTCGCAGTCTCAACGACTGTGGTAACACCACCAATGGTGTGGGTACCGCTGGGGAGCTCAGTGCTGGCGGCGCCGCAGACAGTGGTCGAGTCGGTCACGGTGATGGTCTTGGCGGGGATGGTGTAGACACCAGTGGAAGTGAAGCTGGTGATATCAGGGGTGGGCAGCTCCACGACGGCAGTGCTGGTGGTAGCAGGGGCCACGCTGCTGGGGGTAGTGACCGGAGCAACGGGGCTGGGGATGACCGACGACGAGGTCTGGGGGACCCAGGTCGAGCTCTCAACCACGGGGGTCTCGGTCGACGAGGAGGGAGCCTCCGCGGGAGGTTGAGAGGGAGCCTGAGAGGGGGTCTCAACGGGGGTCTCGACCGGAGTCTCGACCGGAGTCTCAGGGGTCTCAGCGGGAACAGAGGAAGTCTCCGGCTCCGGCTCGGGGGCGGGCGAAGACGAGGGCAAAGGAGTAGTGGTGACGACGGTCACGGTGGTGTAGCTGGTCGACTCCAGGGTGGTGGTCAAATCAGCAGGAGGGACGACGCTGCTAGAGGTGACGGGAGCCACGGAGGAGGGAGAGGGAGAGGGAGTCGAGGTGGTCTCCGGCAGGGGGATCACTGCTTCATTAGTTTCTATTCTGCATTAACCCACTGTGTCAAGAGTGCTTACAGGTAGGAGAGCCGTAGTAGGTGATGACCTCGGTGCTGCACCCGCAAGTCTCCCCCGCAACGGACGAAGCAACGGACGAAGGCGCAGGGTTCTGAAGAGCCCGACGCTGGTGCGCCGCTTCGTGACCGCGACGGTGCATGTGGACGCCATCCGCAACGGCAGTACCGGCGATGGCGGCCGTAGCCAAAAGAGTAGCCCTCATAGTATAAGGATAGAAGATGAGTTCGCAAATGCAAAGAAAGAATGCCCGCTGAACGAGTGAAGCGGTGGTCAACAGTAGACCTTAATAAGGAACGACAAGAGAAGAGAAAACAACAAGAGGACGCGAACTCGAGAGCAAACCGGAGGGAAAAGAAGGGAAAAAAAGAGAAGAAAAAGAGAGGAAAAGCCAGAAAGAAAAGGAGCAGAAAGAAACAAAACGAATCACAATACAGCGTATTACCAAATTAATCAGGGGTGGGGTGTGGAAATGAAACCCCTGACCAGTTTTTGATTGGCTAATAGCAACGGTCTGGGCCCGGGTCAGGCACCGAATGGTTACAATTGGCTGGGGTAGTGGGTACGGTGGGGTATAGCCGAACACTGCCCACCACTAGCTCGGCCATGGTATCGTACAGTACGAGATGCATACAGGTGCAAACAAAGATACACAAGCGCCAATCGAATATACTTGGAAATCTACTCTGTAGACAAACAGCGATACCATACAGCCATACCCCATATCCAGGTAAGCAAACTGCTGGCAGAGCGCTTTCCATTAGCCGTGGTTTGCAATTTCCTGTATTTTTCAATGAGTATTTTTACTGGCTACTAACAGAAGTTAATTTCCGGGTCCCACCTCTCCCCCATTATTGGGCAGTTTCGATGGAGCCCCTGAATTTCCGGATTTTCAGATCGTCTGACAGTCGATGTTCACATCGTTACTGCGAACAGTAAACAGTTGATAGTTCACTTAAGAATAGATTCCTATACTTAGTAGGACTGTCAGTGAGCAAAGCCCTGTGAGTATGGGGACATAAGGGTGGTGGTGGGCTTCTCCGGAGTATGGACACACTGCCGACTGCCGAGTCTAGATCCCACCAAGCCTCACCGCTGGACACCATTCCTTGGATGTCTCTACGAGCTCATTTCCGGAATGGAGAATAGAAATCCATGTCTCGGACAACCGACAAGTACAAGTAAAGCTGCCTCCTATTCTAGCTCCGCTGTCCCTTATGAGCTTGGCAATCAATAGTCATGTCTCACTCGGCGCGCTCCGAGTTTACAAGTACGGAGAACGGATAATCCGTAGGGTCGACCTGGTCACATGATGAGTAGCGTTCTGCAAATAGAACTGGGGCTACTCTGGTAGCCTCGTAGCTGTAGAGTACAGAGTGCAACAATCGTGGATACAGCCTGGTAGAATCATCTGGAAATCTTGTAACACTACTCCCGTAAGGGAGCCCATACATATTTCCCCGTGACATCCCTGTTTCATCAAGACATACACCTGTACGGGTCTCCTCGTACTCGGATAAGTGGCTAGTAAGGCTGGGGTGAAGCGTTAATGCAGCGCTTAAATGCCGGCACGGTGGTGAATCGAGGCGCTGCACACCGCCACCTTATATGTCGACAAAACATTGAGATTAGATATGCATGTTGGAGATATGGGTGCTGTCCCTACTGTGGACTCGACTACAGAAGCTGGGATCTGACTAGATTTGTAGGCTCTTCAATGCGAATATACATATTCTCATCACCAGCCAACATTCTATCCGCGAAGGATTGTGGCTGGGTTCCTCGTTGGGGTTGTGTTTGACCTCTGTATATTCGACAGCGCTACGAAGTACCGCTACTTTGTACTCTGCACATGTACGGAGCACCATTCTTCAACCTAGCCAGACCATCTGTCGCTGTGGCTCAGTCTCGACCCTTAGGCTTTATATAATATTTTCATTTCTTCAGGATCAGTCAATTTACTGCCCCATATGTATACACGGTACTGATATCCGGACCCAACCCACCCTCGGCAAAGTAGAACCATACAAACATCTAAATTTCCTAGAACCATTCCTTCCATCAATAATTGTCGGCATATATAGCGGAAACTCTGTTATCACCACCGACAGCAGTCATACTCGTTTGTATACGAGCATCACATCACATGACATATCATGCCACATCTACACTCCGCATACGCCGTGCATCGTGTTGGACTCTATACATCACGCCACCCACTATTCCGATATCAAAGAACCAATTCCTCGTGATCACGGGTATTTGCTACTATGTGACGTAGATAATTGGCTTTAACATGCTATCATTGCCTGATATATCATGTTCATCTACCAACACGACGAATGGCAGGACGAGTAATTGTAAGGTGATCGGATGCTACTCGCTCGTATATCGCGATGACATGACATCCGATTTCATGATCGAGTATAGTATTCTTGTTATTCTGATATGTACTCTAGATCGTATACGTGGGAGAGTATTTAATCTATCCTTCCATACTCAGCCATCACCATCACCATCACCATCACCATCAAGACATCAAAACCACCACTTACATTTACTACTTACCACAACCACAACCACAACCACCACCACAACAACAACACAATGACTTCTTCCTCCCGTCCCAACGACTTCGGCTCCGACCTCTGGGTCCGCGACTCCCACTCCCAAACCCGCGTAAGTAACAAACAGTCCTTTATTACACCACTCCACGGTGGAAATCCAGTCATTTGCTTACAACTGTGAACGCAGCGCCCCACATCCGGCCGTGGCCTCTTTGCCGGTCTGCAAGACGTGAAGCACTACAATGTGGAAAACGGTTGGGCGAAGAGGAATGTTAGGGACGAAAATCGCGGGATTCTGGGGTTTTTGGGGAGGTGGTACGTTTCCCCCATTTCCCCTTGTTCTTGACTGCGTTTGTATATAAAAGGGCTTGTAAAAGGGGTGTGAGCTAACGGGTGTGGTGTAGGTGGGGTGGATATACGCCGAGGGAGTGATTTTCCTTCTAGTTTCTGGGGATTGCGGAGGGCATGGGGATATGGAGATGCTAGTTTCTATGATTGACGATTGTTACTTTATTTGGATTACGGAGTATGGTCAAGGGAAAATATAAGGATATCAGTAATTCAATTCTGCATCAACGCTCTGTACATGTCATGAAATTGCTAAACCAGACCTTTTAAAAAAAAATATATATATATCCCAAATGAACCGAAGAAATAAAACCAAAGATACCGGGTCAAAATTTTTATTCCCAGCTGTTAATCTTCATCGTCCCATTATCCGCCAAGTTCTTATGCATCTTGAACGCATTAAACAACAAGTGCGGCTCATGGCCCATACCCTTCTTCAAACACTCAAACTCGGCGCGGTCCAAGTAATCAGTAAGAATAGGCTGGTAGTCAGGGTGTGCGCAGTTCTTGATAATAACACGAGCGCGCTCTCTAGGCGAGAGACCACGCACATCAGCAAAGCCCTGCTCTGTGACAACCATGTCGAGATCGTGCTCTGTCTGGTCGATGTGTGTCGCGAAGGGGACGATACACGAGACACCGGTGGGGTCGGTCTTGGAGGGACGGATGGAGGGAGTGTGCATGATGGAGTAGCGCGAGTTACGCAGGAAATCGGCAGACCCGCCGAGACCGTTCAGCATGCGCGAGCCGAAGACGCAGGTGGAGTTTGCGTGCGCGTAGATGTCTACTTCGACAGGGGTGTTCATGCCGATGCAGCCCAGGCGGCGGATGATTTCGGGGGAGTTGGAGATGCCCTGCGGGCGGAGAAGGAGCTTGTCGGCATAGCGGTCCCAGTTGTCGTAGAAGCGCTTGAAGCCGTCGGGGGAGAAACGGATGGAGGTGGCTGTGGCGAAGTCGAGGTTGCCGCTGTCGAAGAGGTCGAGGAAGGTGTCTTGGAGCACTTCGGTCCAGACCTTGAGGTTCTTGAAGTTAGCGCCGCCCTTGCTCAACCCACCAACCACTGCGTTGGCAATGTTTCCAATGCCAGACTGCAGCGGGAGGAGGTTGTTGGGGAGACGACCATGGTCGACCTCGTGCTTGAGGAAGTCGATCAGGTTACCCGCGATCGCCTGCGAAGTTTCATCCTCGGGCGAGTTGGGGGCCGTCTTGTCGGGGTAGTCACCCTCGACAATGGCAACGACCTTCTCCGGGTCAACGGGGATGTAAGGAGTACCGATACGGTCCTCGGGACGCATGATCATCATGGGCTTGCTGTACGGCGCCTGCTCAGGCACATAGATATCATGCAGACCCTCAAACGACGGCGTTGTCGTGTTCACCTCAATAATAACCTTATCCGCCATCTGCACAAGCTCCGGCGACGCACCAACCGATGCACCGGGGATAATCCCACCATTCTCGGTAATCGCAGACGCCTCGATAACCGCAACATCAAGCTTACCGCTGGGCTTGTCCAACGTGTACCACCCGTTAATCAAGTCTTGGGGGAACATGCTCAGATGCTTATCGAAGAACTTTATCCGGCCCGAGTTCAATCCCTTGGCAATCTCCTTGCCGACCTGGTGGGGACTGCGACGCTCGATCATGTCCAGTGCTGCCCAGCGGTTTTCAGTCTCTGCGCCGGACGAGGCACCGACGAATAGCGAGTATTTCATCTTTCCTTCGAGCTTGTTCTTTTCGACATGGTCTGCCAGGGCGGTGGGGACTTTCCTGCAACCCAGTTAGCACCATGTCATCACTACCACATACCGTGGGGAAACATACTTGGGATAACCAACACCCGTAAACCCGGACCAGCCGATATACGAGCCATGAGGAAACAAATCAACAAGATCCTCGGCCTTGGCCAACTTGTTAAGGTACGAAGGCCGCTTAACACGGCTTCTGAGGAGAGCAGATGCCATTGTGTAAAAATAAAATCTGGAGAAGAGTGGAGAGTGTCTAGAGAAATCCGGGGAAGAAGAGAAAAAAAACAAGAAAAGAAAGGAGTGTGTAGAAAGAAAGGAAGGAGAGGGAGAAGGGCGAGCTACAAATATAACCGGCTAACCCCACGGGCACAGGGAGAGAAGCAGGTGGAGAGGCAAATCCACAAATCAAAACCGGCCGTTCGGTATCCAGGGAAAGGAGGTTGTACTATGAGCTAAGTTGGTCTGTTATTATTATTACATCGTGTCGGTGCTACGTCGTAAGTAGGGTTATCATCTACACCGGTGTTCTAACCTCTGCTATGTCCACGAACTATAAAGACAGATTGAAGAAATGGAAATACACGGGCTATTTGAATCTGTCCTTCCATTCTCCCGTCCTTTTCTCTACTCAAATCCGTACAATTTCTAAGCTGGGGGGAGTCTTTTCCTGTTCTCGATCATTATGACATTTCTCCGTTTTCGGACTAGCGTCGCCCCCAACGCCATGACGACGTCACGCCGGCGTTCGCTCGGCATTTTCTCGATGATTGTTCCCCTTCACCTTTACACTCCTGTATACTCCTTATTCCTCCTATAGTGGTGTCTAGGTGTTGAAGAAAACATGCAAAACCACCCCAGAAACCTCCTTACCCAAAAGAATTCCCATTTCAATTGAACCCGATAACACGGATTTCACCATGTACATATCATCGGCCAGCCGAGCCATGTCCGAACTGTTTCGGGCTGTATCGGCTAAGCAGCCATCGGCCACACGGAGCTTTCGAGTTTCGCAGCATTTTCTGTTGATTTGCAGACGATCGATCTACTACAAATTCCGGGGCAATGGAAAGGAGAAATGGAACACTTCCATCCTTAGTTGTAGTACTAGTCATTCGCCCTATAGTACATAGTAAAATAAAAATAAAAACATCACTGCTCCACTCCTCTAAATACACCAAGTCCGAAGCATAGCATAGCGTAGCATATCATAATAGGATATCCCCAGAATATGGCTCCCGAGTACAGAAGCCAGGGGAATACCCCAGATCGGACAGTTCACCCATATTTGCAAGCAACTGAAGACGAAAAGAAATCAAATCCCCAAAAAAGAAACGTAATGCCAACAGCCATGAAAACGTAGAACCGAACATAAAATCGATTATATTATTCATTCATTCACAAATAAGAAAAGGAAAACCCCCCAACTCACTCTCATGCCTCTTTTGACTCGGATGGCGCTGGTTCCGCTGCATCTGCCATTTCTGTATCTTCCGGTTCTGCCGGTTTCTCCTTGTCTTTGGTGCCGTCTTCCGAAGGCGCCTCTGTAGCTGTAGCCTCCGTAGCCTCTGCAGCGGCCCCCGCACCCGCCTCCACTCTGGTGTCACCGTCAGCGTCAGTACTGGCGCCAGGACCACTGTCAGTGTTGGCGTCTTCTCCATCCCCAGTCCCTTCCCCGGCCTCGGCCTCGGGACCGCTCGGTCCAGGCTCAGAGCCCCTGATCCACGACCGGAAGCGCTGATTAGACTCGTCCACTTCGTCCTTGCTGAGTCCATGCGCCCAGACCGGGTTATTAATAAATTTCTCGACAAAACGGTCCTTGCGACGCTCCTTGACAGCCGCATCCTCTCTAGCTGCCTCTTCGGCAGCTTCTTCTGTCGGGCCTGTGGGACGCCAGCTCCATTCGCAACTGCCAGGCTCGTACAGAAGATGATAGCTGTTCGCGCAGATCCGGATGATCAAACCATCTGAATGCTCGAGGGGCCGGTAGTAGCGGTTGTACTCGTCTTCTTGGTCGAGTCTGGTTGGCAGATTCCGTTTCAAGAAAGGCATGCGCATCTGGGAGAACGGGACGCCTTCTGTTGGGTCACGCATGGTATATGCAGACACGTAGTAAGACCAGCGCGCTTCCTGGCTTAGCTCTTCATTCTGTAACGTCGCATCCTCTGGCGTCAAGAGTTGCACCGTAGTCTTCTTGGATGTGGGATGCTAATCTGGTCAGCAAAAATTCCCAATATGAAAGCAAGAAACTTACGTGGGTAATCCGATAAACATCCCCATCCTTAATTAACCTCTCCACCTGCTTCCGGTACTGAATCTCTTGATTATGCGTGGTCTCTTCACGATCCCGCTCCTTGAAGAAGACATTGATAATATCCGAGCTGCGATCCTTCGAATCACCACTGAAAATCGCACCAGCAAACTTGGCAATACCAGCAAACATCTTCTCCAAGTTGTACAGCTGGTACCCGCCGCGAAGGTAGAAACGACGAAGCGTCTCCTCGAGATGATTGTTCTCCAGATCACCCTTGATGACCTCTTCACACATCCGCACAATCTGCTGGTAGAAATTGGACTTAGGATCTGTGTCGTAGAAGAAATCGTCGGGCACCTTGTCGAGGAGACCCAGTTCGGTTGCTGGTTTGCCCATTGCAGCGCGGCGCACGCCCTCATGCGCGTCCTTCTCTTGCAGTTTGATGCGGAGCAGTCGCGAATACAGAATCTCGAACGTCCGGAAGAAACAGTAGATATTCCCGTTAGCGTACAGGTGATAGGTCTTCTTTTTGTAGTTCTCGTTGAGCGTGTATTCCCGCTGAAGGTTGAAGTTGCCCTGGCCAGGGTGCTCCATCCACTTGAGTTCCGTCACGTCCACAGGCTGAGTCGGATCCGGGGGAGCCACAGAAGGAACTAAGACAGCATCCGGTGTGCCTGCGCGGCTACCTGCACGGCTTCCAGGAGCACTGTTGCCGCCTTTCTCGCTTCGGTTGCCCTTCTCACCACGGCGCTCGAGAACATCGCGAAGCAGATCCATCTTCTTGCTGGCCGCCGTCTTGCGACTACGGCTTGAAGAGGTCTCCTCGACTGCGAGGCTCTCATCGTCACCTTCTTCAGCCGTAGGGCTCCCACTCGATGCTTCATTCATGTAAGCATGGAAGCTCTCGCGGTCCATACCGAAGAAGATAGGAATAAAGTCTTTGATGAACGCGATCACCTTCTGAGGATCAGCTCCAAAACCCGCCGAGTTCCGATCAAT